TGACGGAGAAATCGTTGGTGATCCGATGGAAAAAGAGACACTCAAGGCCTCCAACTGGAAACTCTCCTCGAAAACCAAAAATACCATCGAGGGCCACAAGAGAGTCATCAAAATTTTGAGAAGATTCCAGTTTTCTTCTGCACTTAAGAGATCGTCCTCCATCTCGAAGGTTGGTAATCAGATACTCGTCAGCTGTAAAGGTGCTCCTGAGACAATCAAGGAAATGCTCGTGGACGCTCCTTCCAATTACGAAGAAGTGTATAAATCGTTCACCCGTTCCGGATCCAGAGTTTTGGCATTGGGGTACAAATACCTCAGCTCTGACAAAAACATCGACGGTCTCGAGAGACATTCTGTTGAAAGTGGACTGAAGTTTGCTGGCTTTATTGTTTTCCACTGTCCTCTGAAAGATGATGCTATCTCGACGATTCAGATGCTTAACGAGTCCAGTCATAGATGTGTCATGATCACAGGTGACAACCCATTGACTGCGTGCCATGTTGCCAAGGAGGTGGCTATCGTGACAAAAGATGTGCTTATTTTGGACCTTCCTGAAACACATTATTCTGGAGATTCAGAGCTGGCATGGAGAAATGTTGACGAGACCAGAATCATTCCTTTCAACCCAAACCAGGAGTTCGATATCAAGTTCTTGCAGAAGAACGATATCTGTATCACAGGCTATGCCCTGTCTAAACTGATGGAGCACCCTCAACTTGAAAAGCTGATCAGATATACCTGGGTCTACTCTAGAGTCTCGCCATCGCAAAAGGAGTTTATTTTGAATTCTTACAAGAACTTGGGTTACAAGACACTCATGTGCGGTGACGGTACGAACGACGTTGGTGCATTAAAACAGGCCCACGTTGGTGTTGCTTTATTAAACGGTACTGAAGAAGGATTGAAGAAAATTCAGGAAAACAAGAAGATCGAGAATTTGCAGAAAGTTTACGAGAAACAGTGCGACATCATGAAGAGATGGGGAAACCCACCTCCAAAAGTCCCTGCCCCAATTGCCCACCTGTATCCTCCAGGGCCATTGAATCCTCATTACCTGGCAACAATGGAGAAACAAGGACACACCATCACACCGGAAATGAGGCAAGCTGTTGAGATTGCGAACAGGCAGCCTATTCCATCAGGTGCAAATGCAAACGGTTCTGCTACACAGAAGTCGAACTTTGCAGAGCAGCTGCTGGCAGGCCTCAAAGAGGAAGAGGACGAAAATGAGGCTCCAGTTTTGAAGCTCGGAGACGCTTCGGTTGCTGCACCATTCACATCCAAACTTGCAAACGTTTCGGCCGTTGTTCATATCATTAGACAGGGAAGATGTGCGTTGGTGTCTACAATCCAAATGTACAAGATCCTGGCTTTGAATTGTTTAGTTTCTGCCTATTCGCTTTCTGTGCTGTATCTTGCTGGTATCAAGTTTGGAGATGGGCAAGCCACTGTTTCTGGATTGCTGTTGAGTGTGTGCTTTTTGTCGATCTCTAGAGGAAAGTCTCTTGATAAGCTATCCAAAGAGAGACCACAACCGGGAATTTTCAATATTTACATCATGGGATCCATTCTTGGCCAGTTTGCTATCCACTTAATCTCTCTGATCTATATCACCAAAGAGGTTTACATCCTTGAGCCAAGAGAGCCACAGGTTGACCTGGAGAAAGAGTTCAGTCCATCTCTGCTCAACACTGCCATGTTCTTGATCCAGCTGTCGCAGCAGGTTGCCACCTTCACGATCAACTACCAGGGACCACCGTTCAGACAATCCATCAAGGACAACAGAGGCATGTACTACGGCCTCTTGGGAGTTACATTTTTGTGTTTTGCTGGAAGTACCGAGTTCATGCCGGAGCTCAACGAAGCAATGCAGTTCGTCAAGATGAGCGGCCTGTTCAAATTTAAATTGACTATTGCTATGTTGTTGGACTTTGGAATCAGTTGGATCATCGAGTTGGTGCTGAAGCACTATTTCATGGACTTCAAGGCTGCCGACATTGCCATCCGGGAGGACGAAGAAGAGAAGAAAACCAAATAGAGTGTTATAATTCACGTTTCGTGTGTCTCTGCCTCTGTATTGTACAGCTCATCGTCCGGGGGTTTGTTGCCTTCAACAAAGTAGCCGTCTGCAATTTTGTAGTCTATCTTGCCTCGGACAACTTTGATGACGCCGAATATGTCGTCGTAGCATTCGTCGTTTCGAAGAAAGTCAGGATTCTTCTTCGACTTGTTTTTGTTTTCGAGGCCGTTTGTAATCCAGGAGCACTTTATGCCTAACCGCTTGCACTCGGTGCAAACCGGCTTGGTCTCGCAGCACTTACGCTTGCGGAACCTACACGTTAAACAGCCCTTTCTGGATCGTTTGGACACCTTCTGTGGCTTCCTGATCTTCTCCTTTCCGTCGTCTGGTAGACTGCGCGGGACACGAGCCGGAGCGATTGGGCCTACGTGCGAGGAATTTCTCTCTGCTGTCCCTCGGAGATCAATTGGATTCGGTATGATCTTGGCGTCTAAGGAATGGGGCGTGGGTAACGAAGGAACCCGGACTGCATAATTAGTGGAGGTCAAGCTTGGCTTGTAGGGTGGTTGTACCGGTGTCGTGAATGAGGACAAGATGGGCGGTAGCAATAATGAATTTGATGCTAATGATGCTGGTTTTGTATGATGCCTCTGGTTGACGGACTGCGAACTGGCTTCATCCATTTGGGACAAGATCTTCGTTGAACCAAGTAACGCTTATGGAATTTTCTTTATATTCTTTCCCCTTCCGATCGTAGCCTTTTGACGCTAGCGGTCACAGATAAAACAACATACATTGTTTCCGCATGGACGAGCGCAAAGCTGCAGTCTGGAAATTTTCAACCTGGAGACTGTGGGGTCTGACGTCATAGTGCGGGGGTAAATGTTGCGCTCCCAATAAGCTCGGAGAACTGGAAATCCTAATCCAGTGCATTGCTTGACGCTATTATGCTTCTGGGGGCTTGTGGTTTCAGGGCACGTCGAACCACAGCCGTATGCCTTGGTACATTTTTCTGATGTACTTTACTGTCTATAGGTAGTAATTTTCGCGAAACCTGCTTTCAAAAAAAAAAATATCAGTCCAATCTATTTATCGCTTAGACATGCTTCCTGCCGAAAGTGTGGCCAGCACACCGCCGCTGACACGCAAGATTTCCAGGAGATCAATCTCTAAGCATTCGCAGCCTTTTAAGGATGACCCTGATGCGCTTGAGTGGCTTCGACGCAAATTGAACCCGGAATGGGAGATCGATGTTCGCGGAGAGCTCGACGATGGCGACGATGGAGTTGAAGAACTTTTAAAAGGATTGCGAGCCAGTAAGGGAATCAACACCTTACAGGAGTATCGGTTTCTGAGCACATTGAATCCGCAGCTGGAAAAGTTTGATTACCAGGTCAATTACGAGAAGTTTGCTAACTTTCAGTCGGAAATAAAAAACACCAGAACGTATCTGAAACCTTTATTCGACTACCTCCAGAATTTTGAGCGCAACATCAACAAGCTATCGCAGGAAATGGAATTCCTCCAAAAACGATCTGACATGCTCAACTCGCAGATAAAAAGCAAACAGGAGTTAGATACAAGGTTAACTCCGGTCATTAACGATCTAATCATTCCTCCCGGCATTATTAACTCCATAATAGACGACAAGATAGACGAAAAGTGGATTGAAAACATAACGTTCCTAACAGAAAAGAGGGAAATCTACTGCAAGTACTCTTCCGAAAATAAGCCAAAGTGTGTTTCAGAGCTCGTGCATCTGTTAGATCTTATGGAGCTGAAAGTTGTGGAACGAATTAGAGACTACCTCATCAAGCAAATCAAGGCCCTGAGAAAACAAACTGTTTCATCGCAGGTGGTCCAGAACGAGATGCTCGAGGTGAAGGAGATTTTCACTTTTCTGCAGGAAAAGAATCTCAAATTGAGTAATGATCTTTGTCAGGCATACTGTCATACCATGCGTTGGTACTACTATCAAAATTTTGTCAAATACACTTCGTCATTGGAAAGACTGAGAATACATAGGGTGGACAAGAACATCTTGCTTGGCTCTCTCGATGAGGAGGGGGGCCCTTCTGGGGCCGGATCATTTTTTGGATACTCTAACCATAAACACGAAATTACACCCAGCGAGTATTTGATCGCTTTGACGAAACGACTCGAGTCTTTGGGCAAATTTGATGAAACGGTCATGCCCGCTCAGATAGCCGAGACTAACAATGCAAAATACTGGCTTGAAACTGCGTTCAGAAATTTCAATGTTGCACTTTTAGACAACGTCTGTGTTGAGTACCTATTTATGAACGAATTCTTCAACCTGACCAAGAGTGAGCAACTAGATGAGATCTTCAAGACGATATTTAACCCGGTGTACCAAATCGGACACAGCTTCACCAAGTATCTTATATCTAACACCTACGATTACTTTGGGGTGCTCATAGCTATTCGTCTTACTCAACAGCTGGAATACGAATTGCAGCATCGGCGCATACCAGTGATGGAAGACTACCTGAACTATCAGCTAATCATTCTATGGCCAAGATTTCAAAATCTGATAGATCAAAGCTGTATGAATATCAAGAAAAGCGTATCATCCTCTGTGATACTCAAGAGCATCAATAAGAACACCATGATTCCACTAGGTCTCACGCAGAACTTTGGGCGTGTGCTGCTCAACTTGATTAGTCTTTCTCAAAATCTAATAGAGCAGGAGACGTCAGAACCGTTAACTAACTCCATTGTCCGACTTCGAAATGAGTTCGAGAGCACACTAATGAAGATGAGCTCTACACTAGAACCCAAGAAGAGAGAATTGTTTCTTTACAGCAATTTCTCGCTTGTCTTTACTATTCTGAGCGAACTGGAAGAATCCAATAAACCCGGAATGGACGAAGTGGCCCATTTTCAAAATCTGGTAGATGCATACGCGAATAGGGAATAATCTATATTTTTAATAATCTGGAGTAATTAATTATTATTTATGAGCGACAAAGATCTTGCGAGCTCCTTGATGGAGCTCAATATAAAAGTAGGGACGACAGACATACCTCAGACCATTGCTGAAGAACAGAATCAGGTAACAGATACTAAGGAAGAGGTGCTTGACGACGAAACAACGATCAAGAATGACCCGCAAAAAACAAAGATTACCCTCAACCAGAGTATGATGCTCTCTAAACTGCCAGCAAAAACCACTTCGGCTGTGCTCTCGGTGTCCAAACCGACCGAATCCAAAATACAAATCCGCTTCAAGTCAATAGGGTCTGTGGACCAAGTCAGCCCTGCCGTTTTCAAGATCAGTAAAAGCTCCAAATTTTCTTCCATCTTGCGATTTCTTGAACTCAAGCTAGGCAAAAAAGTGTACTGCTACCTCAATAACTCGGTCAGTCCCAATCCCGACGAGGAACTCGAGAATCTGTATAATATTTTCCGCGTGGGTGACGAGCTCATCGTCAGTTACTGCAACATCGTGGCATTTGGTTAACAAAGTTAAGTGTATTCAATACCTATTCACAACGCCTATCCTAAAAATGGTATAATTAAGCAATTCATTTCTCGTTATCCCAAAACCAGCCTGATTTCTTCTGATTTGGAAGTTTCTGACAGTTCTCATCAATGGTCTTGCGCTCACCAGCACTGTTGAGAATCTCTTTTGTTTCTTTGACCGTGCTGGATCCGTCGCTAAAGAACTGTTTCATGACAGTAACCTTTTCCACGTCGCCATCATCCAACGTGCGGATCGTAGTCGATGTACTTGACCCTGTAAAATTAGGACTGTCTCCCCACTTCTTATCGTCTTTATAGAAGTCCCATTTTGACTTCTGCTCTTCTTTGAACTTCTCCCATTCTTCCTTGCGCTTCTTGTTGGCAAGTTCCGTCATCTTAACCTTGAAGCCGAGATAGTCAGTGTATTGCTGGAAAAACAAACCTTTCTGGTGAGACGAGTCGTTCTCCACGTCTTCCCTTGCCAATGCCGAACCAAAGTCGTCGGGAATGCTGGCCCTTGGGAACAAACATCTCCATGCCCCGTTGGCATCCCACACAGACAAACCGTTCATCTCCTGGCATCTTGCGTATAACTTGGCAGATGGAATCGGGTAGGCCCAGAGACCGTAAGGAGTCTCCTGATTCTTGAACCGGCGACCAAAAGACCCAAAAGGAGACTCGTTAAACAGCGGGAACATGTCGAACACTTGGTCCACAGCGTTAACGAGGTTGTCGTGGAAGTCGTGGCCCGAATCTCCCAAATACTTGCTAGACCAATCAAGGAGATTGGAAACAGAAGAAGAGGTCAAATTGTTTGCAGAAGATAGCAGTGACTCGAAAGAGTCATTGATGGCGCTCAATGCGGAGGTATTCAATGGTTTCTCTTCTTTGGCGACCAAAGACTCGATGTTATTTGAGTCCGAAGGGTTGTAAATACCCATGATGAAATAAAAATTAATTTGCCTTCAAATTCTAGAATTATTTATTATTAAATTGGGCCTGATCTGGAGCAAAAATATTTGCAACCCAGACTACATGCTGTCAAGAGAAAATTGATACATTTTCTGAACGCTTGTGTGTGTGTCAACTTTTGTGGCTATGGAATGAAATAGCTTTGTCACGAGAAAGCAAAACTATGCTTGCGTTGAACTGGTTTGCTCGCATGAACGTGGCAAAGTATTCATAATCATAATATCACATGCTGACTAGTGTGGGGAACCCTAAATATAAAAGGGTTCCTGGAACAGCATTTGCTTATGTCGAAATCTACGAAATCACTTACAAAACTATCAGAGGCTCTTGAGTCAAACGAGTCCTTGAAAAAGGAGGCGTTGAAGTCGTTGAACTCGCTGGTATCATTTGAAATTAATGACAAGAAGACGGGCGAGACTCAATATTGGGTTTTGGATGCCAAGTCAGAAGGAAAGTTGAAGAAGACTGACAAAGTGGCAGACAATGCCGACATAAAGATTAAGATCGGTGATGTCCAGCTTCGCAAACTTATAGACGGGAAGGCAAGCGCTCAAAAGTTATTCATGACAGGAAAGCTCAAAATCAAGGGTAACGTCATGAAGGCCGCCAATGTAGAGAAGCTACTCAAATTCGTTGGTCCAGAAAAGGCTAAGCTCTAATGAGCGATCACCACGATCGACAGCACCCCAATGACGAAGAATCCCTAGTGTTGTAAGCTTTGTAGTGAGAAGACGAGAGATAAATATGGTCCAAAAATAAACATCACTTTTGCATCGATAAACTCACCTAGTAATTATTAAATGTGGGCGGAGCCACGAAGAAATCACCGAGCATTGATTCAAACAAACCCAGAGAATCCCTGCAAGACGGACCGAGCCTGACGCAAAGACGTGTTGACTCCAGGCCTGAACCGGAGGTAGAGCACACCCAACACCATCGGGAAGCCGAGTGAAAATTAACCAGCCGTACTGGATAGGGCGATTTTTTTTTCCGGTATGAGTGCATTGCAGATGTGCCAGAAGAAAAGTCGGTTATGCTTCAAAGTCAATGATTGGTACGATAATAGAGGCCAGCAATTCGGTACCAAGCTAGCCTTTGGAACACAACAGAGCCTTCCATCAAGCGCGCCGAACTAGACGCGTATCCGCTGTGTCGACGTTCTTTTTTGCCTGCTTCTGCAGCTGGCATCCGAGACGTACTGTAGGACTCGAGGTCGCGAAAATGATGTACTGAGTCATCGTCCCCTGGAAAATTTTTCATAAAACAAGTGGGATTACCATATTTATTGCTACTGGTGTTGGCGAACAATAGCCTTCATGTAGGAAAAACAAAGCCGGCGTCTCTTGCCGGCATGAGCGCCGCGAAGCTGGTGTAAAAAATTGCACTTGTCCTGAACGATATTTCCGTATTGTTCTGCTGGCACGGAAAGCAACTACGGTGAGCGGCAAGGCCCGCGGGGCGTTGAATAATTGGTATGCGGTGCGAGTGGAAAAAGCAACTTGGCGCTCTGCTGTGATTGGCTATAGATAATATTTAGTCCATTGATAATTTTTCACAAAGATCTCCGTCAACGGAAATCTTTGGATGCGGCTCGAGAAACAACCAGCTACTCAGTGGTAATATAAATAGGGGTTGCGCCGCAATTCCTGCCCTTTCCCCATAGTATACACAATGGTCCAACCACAAGAGCCAGAATTCGAGCAAGCCTTCAACGAATTGTACTCCACCCTCAAGGAGTCTACTCTGTTCCAAAAGCACCCAGAATACGAGAAGGTGATTCCGGTTGTCTCTGTTCCAGAGAGAATCATCCAGTTCAGAGTCACCTGGGAGGACGACCAGGGCAATGTCCAGGTCAACAGAGGTTACAGAGTCCAGTTCAACTCTGCTCTGGGTCCATACAAGGGAGGTCTGAGATTGCACCCAAGTGTTAACCTTTCGATCCTCAAATTCCTTGGATACGAGCAAATTTTCAAGAACGCCTTGACCGGTCTCTCTATGGGAGGTGGTAAGGGTGGATCTGACTTTGACCCTAAGGGAAAGAGCGACAACGAGATCAGAAGATTCTGCACTGCCTTCATCAGACAGCTTGCCAGACACATTGGCCAGTTCACCGATGTTCCAGCTGGTGACATTGGTACCACCGGACGTGAGATCGGATTCATGTTCGGTGCCTACAAGCAGATGCAGAACCAGTTCGAGGGTGTGCTGACCGGTAAGGGATTGACCTGGGGTGGTTCTTTGATCAGACCAGAGGCTACCGGTTACGGTCTGGTCTACTACGTCGAGAAGATGATCGAGAAGGCCACCAACGGTAAGGAGTCTTTTGCTGGCAAAAGAGTTGCTATCTCGGGATCCGGTAACGTTGCTCAGTACGCCGCTTTGAAGGTCATCGAGCTTGGAGGAACCGTTGTTTCTCTTTCCGACTCGAAGGGCTGCATCATCTGCCAATCTGGAATCACCAAGGAGCACATCGAGGCCATCATCGAGGCCAAGGTCAAGTTCATGTCTTTGAAGGACATCATTGGTGAGTACTCCGCTTTCGAAACCACCCCTGTCCAATACATCGACGGTGCCAGACCATGGGTTCACGCCGGTAAGGTCGATGTCGCTCTGCCATGTGCTACCCAAAACGAGGTCTCTGGCGAGGAAGCCAAGGCTTTGGTCGCTGTTGGATGCAAATACCTTGCTGAGGGATCCAACATGGGCTCTACTCAGGAGGCCATTGACGTTTTCGAGGCCGAGAGAAAGAGCGCTTCTTCCGTTGGCGACAGTATCTGGTACGCTCCAGGTAAGGCTGCTAACTGTGGTGGTGTTGCTGTTTCGGGTCTGGAGATGGCACAGAACTCTCAGAGAGTTCAATGGAGTGCCGAGGAAGTCGACAAGAAGCTCAAGGACATCATGGTCAACTGCTTCAATACCTGTTACGAAACTGCTGTTTCCTACAGCGCAGAGACCAACAAGGACACCTTGCCATCGCTCGTCATGGGTGCCAACGTTGCCGGTTTCGTCAAGGTTGCTGAGGCCATGAAGGCTCAAGGTGACTGGTGGTAAATGTCACGCCCATTGGATGTACTGTACGTAGAACAGAATGATTTAATTTTCTCCAGCAAAACCGATTTATTTCGTCCTGCCACACCATGAAAAGCGTTGTCTGTGGCTGTGTATGTATTTGGGTGGACAAAAATATTTAGACGCAATTTATAAGACCTCAGCCTCCATGTCGTCCACTTCTGCATCTTGGACTGCTTTTATCAAGAGTTTGGCATCCTACAACGGAGACCTGTCGTCGCTGACTGCGCCGCCTTTTATCCTCTCGCCGACGTCCTTGGTGGAGTATTCCCAGTACTGGTCCGAACATGTTGATCTGTTTCTGGCCCCTAACTTCATCCAACAAGAAATCAATGACGTGGACTCTGTTGAGCTCAAGCACATGGTTGCCGTTCTGCGCTGGTTCATTTCCACCCTGAAAAGCCAGTACTGTTCTCGAGCCGAGACGCTTGGTGGCGAGAAGAAACCTCTAAACCCATTCTTAGGCGAATTGTTTGTTGGTAAGTGGACTGATGAGTCACCTTCCAAAACCTTCGGAGAAACACTGCTGGTGAGCGAACAGGTCAGCCACCATCCACCTATCACGGCCTACGCAATCCAAAATAAAACTAATAAGACCACTCTCCAGGGCTACAACGGAGTTAGAGCTTCCATGTCGGCAACCGCATTGAACGTGAGACAATACGGCCATGCTTTGCTAAGCTATGAGAATCTCAATGAGAAATACCTGATCACCCTACCACCCCTCCATATCGAAGGTATATTGATGGCAGCTCCTTTCGTCGAACTAGAACAAAAGTCTTACATCCAGTCATCGACAGGATACGTTGCGGTCATCGAATACTCTGGCAGGGGCTATTTTTCTGGTAAGAGCAACAGCTTCAAAGCCAGAATCTACAAGAACATTAGCGAGGCTGAGGACAAGACGAAGGCTCTATACACCGTCAGTGGCCAGTGGTCGGGCGTCTCGTCCATATCAAGAGGTAACGCTGTTGCTTCCGATGCACAAGTGTTCTTCGATGCCAATAACTCCAAACCTCAACATCTGACGGTCAAGCCTATCGAAGAGCAAAGCCCGCTGGAAAGCAGAAGAGCCTGGCAGAAAGTTGCCGATGCGATCAGGGCTAATGATTACAATTTGATCCACGAAGAAAAGACAAAGATCGAAAATGAACAACGCGAGCTGCGCAAGAAAGAAGCTGCTGATGACACTCCTTGGAAACAGAAATTTTTTGAGGAAATTGACTATACAACTCTGACAGAAGAAGATGACGAAACGGGATATATCAAGCTTGCCAACATGGCAAACTTGTCGCTGAAAAACGTTCCCTCCGGTACCAGAAAGGGCTCGTCTAAAGACAATGAAACCGAAGCAGGGTCTCACTGGAGATTCTGTACCGAAAGGTTAGATACCACAGATATCGTTTTCTAATTATACCGGAGTGTGCTCTCCTGCGAGCTCCGTAGTAGAGCTGTTGCTCGAGTCACTGAACGCTTCATTCCGGATAGCTTGAATCCATGGATCTTGTAGAAGCTCCACTGCAGTGAGACGCTTTGTTGGATCAATATCCAGACACTTCGCCAGGAAGTGCTGTCCTTGAATGCTTAATTGGTCGTTGCTTGGGAATTGAGGGAGATGTCCTGCAGCAATATGATACATGACAGCAAATTCGTTGTCCAGATTAGCCCATGGTCGTCTTCCAGTGGCCATTTCCAGTAAGCAGCAACCCAATGACCAGATATCAATGGCACCAAACTTGCCTATCGTTTCTCCCCTGATTGTTTCCGGCGACATGTACATCGGCGTACCAGTCAACGCTTGTGTTTTGCGGCCGGAATGGAGGATCGAATTCAAAGTGGCAGTACCGGAACCGCTGCCATTACCCCCGCTGCTGGATGAGCCACCTGTTGTATTTGAGGTGTTGCCGTGTGCAGCCATTGCGATCACTTTAGCAGAACCGAAGTCAACAAATTTAATGACACCCATGTGGTCCAGTAGTATGTTTTCTGGTTTGATGTCTCTATGCACAATACCAAACTGATGGAGATACGCAAGACCTTCGAGCATCTGAAGTGTATAGAGTTGAATCACCGATTCGTCTTCAATACGACCGTACTCCAACAAACTTGCCAATGATCCACCACTGCAGTACTCCATGAAAATGTAAACTCGGTCCCGATGAACTTCGACACCGAAAAATTGAACAATATTAGGATGCGACAACATTTCCAACACAGTCATCTCACCCTTAATGGCCGGCACAATGGATTTGATAGACTGTCTATCCTGGAACCGGATTTCTTTCACCGCTAAGGCTCCTCCAGTGTCCAGATTAATTGATGCATAAACTGAACCAAATGTTCCCCCACCCAGGAATTTACCTTTCTGCCATCTGATGGAGACCGATGAGAAAGATGAGGCAAGGTAGGTCAGGAATTGGTTATCGGTATCCGTATCATCCAGGACACGGCCAACAGATTGTTGCTCGACTTGTAGCAATCTTCTCTCTTCTTCTAGGCGGCCAATTTGGTACATGATGTGTTCTCTCAATGAACTTAGGCTTTCATCATCAAGCGTGAATAAATCTTTTTCTGAGATGGAATGGTAATTGAGCATTCTCTTTTTTTGCATTTCCTTGGTTCTGGCCCCCATGATATCGAAATGAGAAATCAATAGAGACATGCACCCTGCAACTTTGTCCTTCAATCTGTAGAACTTCTCGCTGTCTAAAGTTAGAATGTTGAATCCAGTCGTTATATCCATCGCAAACTCCAAAGCAGAGACACACCATCTGAATGTTTTAGGGTCTGTGGGTATACAATCATCCACGATAAAACTCAACCATTCTATAGCAAACTGTAACAGCTTCAAAATGAGTACAGATTTTCGTGCATTGTCAAAGGTTCTCAAGAAATCGCGACCTGAATCCCGAATGTATGTGAACACGGTATTTGCGAGCTCTTGCGTATCTTCTATTCCTCGACATTGATTTCTCACAGAAGGCACGGCATCGATAACAAAGCACGACATTCTGAAAAACTGCTTGGAGATGAGTTGGAGTTCTCTTTGCACTTTTGGCAAGGAGCATCTCTTGCCAACAGCGGAGCCTATAGTGTTTCCCACACATTCTTTGAACCAATTGGCACAGTCATCAATTTTGGAAGAAGAGCCACCTTTAGAAATCAGCAAAACTTTTCCTTTGTCGAGATTGCCAATAGGTAAGGAGGTGAGATCCAGTGGCAAAACGATACCATCCCACATCATCGCCTTGGCGGGATAAACAACCAAAACATAATCATAGCTCTCATCAAACTCATTTTGGTCCTCATCAAAGTTTTCAGCTTCAGCATAAATAGGTTCAGCATAGTAGGTATAATTATCTGCTGCTTCCATGTGTCTCTTGGGTATTTTGCTGAAATCCACACCGAGGTGCGAGCTCTTTAAGATTCGGGAAACTTCATATGGCTTACTCGCAATGGACTCCGATGCAAAAACGTAAACACCTTCCTCCGCCAACTGCGCGTTGTGATAGAGTACATGATTACTTTCTTTCAGCATATCCAAAAACTTCTTCATGCGCGCACCGTTCAAATTGTACAATATGGAATTTTGGAAATAGAAGTTGAGAATAGCATGGAAACGGAAGAACTTCCTTTTTAGTTGACCGAAGTTCTCCATCATGGATGTGTACCATCTCACCATTTTATGTTTGTCCAACGGAGTACCATCGTAGGGAGGTCCCTGGAACTGATGTTGCATGTATTGATGTAGCCTAGCAACGAGCTTAGACGTTAATATGCTAAACTGAGTTGCAACCTCTGCAGCGCCGCCTTCAATATAGAACCCGAGGTTCTGAAGAAAAGACCATTCGCGTTCAAGCTCTTCCGGCTCTTTGAATGTTCTAAACGATTTTGATGACTTCGGAGAATCCAACAGCTTTCTGTTCAACAACAGCAAATAATGATGAACACACTCCAAAATCGCGTTGTCAAAGTCTGCATCTTGATAGTCCAACGACGATATCCAGCCTTCACGAGGAGAACAATACTCCAGGAATGATGTGCGAATCTCTAGCGCGAGAGTGATGTACAGCTTGAAATCTTCAAGGACTTGGTCAATCATCATCATTGTTGGATTTCTCAGTTTTTTGGCGTATGATAGTCTGGTGTTCACTAATTCTTTCATCAATTTCGAGGGGAACATTGCGAGAACCAAGAGGGAGTCAACATAAGAGGGTAGATTCAGTTTCTCAAAATACTGCTGATACTCAAGGTAAGACTCTTTTGCTTTGAAAGTCCAATGTGCACAACTAGCAAATAATCTTTTGTTGAATAGATCCTCAATATCCTTCTCTTTCATGATTCTCTCCACAAAAGACCGATCTTCCTTGAATATGTTTCCATTCTTATTCCTGGTAGAGCTTGTTTCACTGTCCGAGTGGTCCTGATCATCTTGGGATTCTAGTTCAGGGAGTTCGCTATTTGAGGACGAAGGTCCTGGAGATCTTAGAATATCGAGATCGTCGTTGCCAACCCATTTCCTCAAAACGTCAGATTCTCGCTGAATAGCGCACGTAATGGAGGTCCATGCAATAAGAGCGTGCAAGCGGGACGTAAATTCAGGCGTCCCACACAAGGGTTTCTCATTTTCCATTTCTTTCTGTGTTCTCCAAAGTTCTTGACAACGTTCATACCTATCAAGTAAATCATTGACTTTGTCGAACCCAAACTTGACTTGTGTGATATACGGCGAATTTTGTATGTCTTCCGGCATTTCAAGTCTAAAATTCATGATTTCATCAAGGATTTCATCAACAAGACCCCTATGATATTGCACGAGTCTTTTCTGATCCTCCTCGGTTCTACCAAAAAGTTTGGACCGTATCCCTATCCAGAGATCCTCTTTGTATGAGGCGCGCAAGTAGCTTTCGCCTTCCACTTCATTCAGTGGTTTGATCAACTTTGTCTTCTCTCCCGTCAAAACGTCACCAGTGAGCACCGATTGCAGAAGAGACTGCCATTCAAGACGCTCCAGAATGGCAGCATTGTCATCGGTGTGCTTCAACTGAATATCGTCGCTTTGATTCAGTATGTCCAGAAGAACTGTTGAGTCCAGTCTGTACTCAGATGGTTTTTCCCACTCATTAGTGGTCATGCCCACCTGTTGACTCAAAGCTTTCAACGCCTTGAATTCTTTGCTATCGTCTTGGCTCAAGTCCTCTTGGAACTCCTCAAACTTATCCTGTATTTTTAAAGCCTCTGGGTCCTCATCGACAGTAACTTCCGCTGGGTCGTCGTCGTCCTCGATGTCCACCGATTTGTTATAATAATCGTCGTTCACCTTATACCTGTTCTTGAACTTGTTGATACCGTTCAGATACACCATCTCCTGTTGCTGGTACTGTTGCGAGTATTTCGTATTCAAGTTTGAACGCAATATGGATGAATGCGGACGCACGCCTTCGATAGTCGCAGACATAGGCCCCGAGGAGCCGTTGCTCTGATTTGAGAAAAGGGTTCGTAACTTTTGGTAGTTGCTGTTTCCTCGACTAGACCTAGAGCTGATTGGACCGGTGCCGTTGGTGATATAATGGAAGCTTGGTGTTTTGAGCAACGGTGTTCTTTGGGGCTGCTCATCGGGACTCGATTTGACACTTTTCTTAGTCGGCAGTTGTTCGGGAGTTGTATCCAACTTTCCAATAGCTTCAACGGGCACGCCATTGTTTAAATCTGTCTGAATTTTCAGCATCTGGTCGGCAGTGTACGTGCCAGTGCTATGTGGAGACGACAGAGGCGTTCCTCGTGGTGACAGCAAAACGCCTTGAGAGGGTATTTGCAACTTTAACTTTGATAGCGATCGTAGCGTCTCGGAATCTTCATGGTGAGTCTCCTCGTCATTCGGCTTATCCTTGCTCGTGGGCGACATGCTCGGTTGGGTAAATGCAACTAAAGCTTTGGAGTATTATAACACCTTATCACTTGTTTTGTTTCGCCTTTAGCAAAAAAAAATTGTTTTTCGCACTTCATCGTCACAAATGGCTGGGTGTAAGTATTAGGCATAACCGAGCGTGCTAACCCACCAGTTTCGATTGATCTAGACCATTGCCTGGAGAAGCTCTATCGGGGAGAGCTTTTATCCGAGCCGGTCATAGACCAACTGTGTTTCAAGCTGAAGGAACTGCTTGTGAAGGAATCAAACATAGTACACGTCCAGTCGCCAGTCACGCTAGTGGGGGACATACATGGACAGTTTTACGATTTACTAGAGATCTTCAAGATTGGTGGATACCCCCCGGACACAAATTACCTCTTTCTTGGCGATTATGTTGACCGAGGGTTCCATTCTGTCGAGACGATCAGCTTACTCATAGTATTGAAACTAAAATACCCCCAGAGGGTGAATCTCATTAGAGGCAACCACGAATCGCGTCAGATCACGACAAACTATGGCTTTTACACGGAGTGTTTAACCAAATACGGCAACCAGTCCCAGATATGGTCTATTTTCACAGATATATTCGACTACCTAATTCTCGCCGCCATTATCGACAGCAATCTATTCTGTGTCCATGGAGGACTGTCCCCAAACGTCCAAACAATAGATTCAATACTGGTCATTGATCGGTTCAAGGAGATTCCTCATGACGGGCCCATGGCGGACCTTGTATGGAGTGACCCCGATCTAGAGCTTCTCAATTTCCGCATATCTTCGCGAGGAGCAGGCTACCAGTTTGGAATCAACGTGGTGAATAAATTTTTGCAGGTCAACAAGTTTGAAAGCATATACCGAGCCCATCAATTGTGCCAGGAGGGATACCAGGTGTTCTGGAAAGGAAAGGTCAACACCGTGTGGTCTGCTCCTAATTATTGCTATCGATGTGGGAACAAAGCTAGTATCTTGGAAATCTTCGATAGCTATCGAGAGCCAGACAGTTTTCGGTTCAATGTGTTTGACGCGTCTCCTGAAAGCCAGAAAGAGTATCTCAAGGTTGTCAATTTGGGCGAGATGGACCAGTCTGCGCAAGATGACTGTTTGGCCCTTCCCGAAACCAACTTCGCAAAAAAGGCTCCCTATGTGGAGTATTTCATGTAATATTAAACTTGCATATGATATGATTATGAATAGTATAATTCTAGGTTCATTCCGTCGTGGATCTCGTAGTCGTCTAGCGAAATATGGTCTTTGAAAATCATGTACCCTTTCTTGAGAACGATTTTGTTGGGGTCTGTGCCTATTTGGAGACCTAAGAGCTTTTTGAAGTCTCCTATGGTGTCACTTGGCAGACACTTGACCCTAATTTTTTTCCCGAGTCGGTCATTACATACAACTTCAATCATTAGAGGTTATTTTAAAATCTTTTTTTAAGTTTTATTTATCGATTAATGCCTGCTCCCCTGGGGAATATCCCCGATCTGAAAATTGACGAGACAGCAGACGTGGCAGTTGAGGAGCCTGTGTCTGAACTATACTCACACTCTAATGGCTCAAACTCGTCGTTCACACACTCAAATGCGTATCGCTACTCCAGATCGCGCTCTCCCAAACGTGTCTCGTCACCAATAAGAAAAGGGTCTCCAACGCGTCAGCAACCCTTCAGATTTGGATCCATCACAATGAATAACTCCAACGAAAACCTGTCTATGAAGCCTGGAGGTGCAGTCCCCATGAACGGCCCAAGAGCTTCATACCGACGTGGTCACAGATACCAGCATTCCTCGGTGTCGATGAACATGTTTCAAGAGCCACCCAAACGTTCGTCGGTGCCCATTCCTCAGCAATACTCACTTCCAACTTACAAAGAAGTGGTCGCAACCCTGAGCTTACAAGATAAGCTTAAGCTTGCGTACTGTGGTTTCCTAATTTTGCTCAGCCTGTCAACCTATTTAATAGGCTTCAGGTTCGGCAATCTTTGTCTGTCAACACTTTCGCATCTCGTCTTTTATGACTCCATTGGCAACTTGATCACTGTGATCGTGCAGGTCATGACCAACTTCCCAATATGGAACAACTCGTCGTTGAAATATCCATTTGGACTGGGCAGAATAGAGGTGCTGGCCGGATTTGGGCTGTCAGTCTCTCTTCTCTTTGTGGGTGTTGATCTTTTTTCCCATCTCTTTGAGAACGCGATGTTCACTCTCGCTCTTGGAGACCTCGATGAAGCCGCCCATGCTCACCATGTTCACGGCGAAAAAGGACATCTCAACTTGGTGTTCTACGAGTGCTACTTGTTAGCGATCTGTTTTGTGACACTGCTGTCGCCTCGTATCATTTCAAGAACGAAGAAACCGGCCGAGCCAATCATTTTGGCGCCCAAAAGAGTTAGTTCCATCACTTTACAACAAGAGCCGGTGGTCAATATCAAGTCGCAGATTAAAAAGACCCAAAACCAGCTCTCCCATTATACAAGCATTCTGTCAATTGGCTACGCAGTCTACGCCATGATGCACCCCCTTATTGCGCATATAGAGCTGGTGGCGGCTGTGAACGAAATCTCCAGCTTGATCTTGGCCTTCACAGTGCTATTCCTGGCATGGAGGTTAATATCTCGTCTCTCGGGAATTCTTTTGCTGCGCAACTCCCGCACTGACATTGAGTCTCGCATTGTTCAAAACATACAGTCATTGGAAGTATACAAATCATCATACAAGATCGGACGGCTAAAGATTGCCAAGGTTAACCACAAAATATATGTGGTTATTCTCAGCATGCGCATGGCTGGGGCCTCGGACGACGACGAGTCAAAAATGAGATTTTATGCGTCTCGTATTATCCGCAGCATTATGTGCCAGGACGAGGCGGCAGAGGTCGATCTGGACGCTGAGTTCGACTACATGGACCAATCTGGCGAGCAGTTCGAAATCACCATCGATATCCAACGCGTGTAGTTAGCACACCCGTACACCGCATCCCCATTTTGTGGACGTATCACTAATCCCCACGAACTTAACTAGTTACATAAACGATATACTATGGACGATTCAGACACTTCCACCTCTATCAACTCTCTGGCATCAGATTTGTCGCCTGGTAAAGACAACAGAAAATGGAAGATGGCCCCACATAAGACCGTGGACGAGGTGATCGATTTTTTCCAAAAACCAGTGCAACCATTTTCCCACGAAGAGAAAAACGACACGCAGCCGGAGCCGGAGCCCTCCATTTCCCTCAACTTTATCCAGCTGTTCAACGACGTGCTCCTACTTGTCACCAGGCTGATCGACGTGCTCATTCCACAGAACAGCACGTACCGGAGTCTGATCTTTCTGTAAGTGCTCATAACCTCCATAAAAGAGGGATCTCTAACACTTTAGGAATACCCTCAATTTTCTTGAACAAGTCAGGAATAACGTATCTGGCTGGTGGAAACAGGTGCTTCTATTCTACAAATCTAATTCGTATTTCGTCAACATCTCAGTGACCATCTTTGTGCTCAGCATCATCCCTCCGGTTCTAATATTCATTCTGCTAATGGCCGTGTACACCTCATTCATTGGCTTTTTGTTCACCACCGGGTTCACCATTCTTGCAATTGCGGCAGGAATTGGTTTCCTGCCGGTTTTCATCATCAGCTTGTCAGTCATTGTGTCTGTGACCGCCGCTGTCAGTCTTGCATATATGGCAGTCAGTGCTGGGATTACTTTGTTCTCCAATACGCTGCCAATTCGAGCATGGTTGAGTGCCATTGCCGACACCCTCCCTCCATCCGTTGGCATTGCTGAAAAGAAAAAATGAGACTAGCTGCCCTTGAGTTCAGCCAACGCGCGTCTCATCTCCACATAAGCCAGATGCATTTTACCCACAAAATGGTCCGCAAGTCGGCGGTCGTTATCGAGGCGAGAGAGATAGGCACCGCACTGCTCGCACACTTGCAATTTCTGCTGTGCCGACTGGTTGATATTCTCAACCATTTCAGTGTACTGCGTGGCAACAGCGTCTCGATTTCGTATCACTTTCTCTAGCTCTTTATTCCAATCCAAAGCCATTTCCAATTCTCCCTTTTCCACAAGTAACGTTATCTCCTGGAGCATCAGGCTTACCTGTTCGTCTAGTTTATCCAGCTCCTGTGTCACGCTCGAAATTTTCTCCCTCTCCTCTACGGAGAGCTCCAGTCGTTTTTCTGCAATTCTAATTTTTCTATTACATTCATTGATCACTCCTTCGAGATCGCGCATGTAATCCAGTTTGAAATTGTCGTTGGGCATTCGCACCCCATTCTTCACACATGTCTCGTATAGTATTTTGAGTTTTTCCTGGTGTATTTTTGGGCACTTGCCCCGATCCTCTTTGGTCCCCTGGAACAAGTCGTACGGGCATTTTCCTACGAGGAAACTTTTGCACACTTTTGGCGAGTCCAGCACAGAAGGATCTGTTGATTGAACTCTTCGCACATCATAATCTCGTGGTAATTTCACCAGAGCATCTCTACCCATGAGCTGCTCAAGCAGCTTTCGCTGTTCGTACGCCATTTATTTGTTAGTATGTAAAAAAATAATTTTATTGCATTGATGAATAATCTGTACTCAGCAGGCAAAGTTCTGTCCTACACCATAAGGACAGTCGCCCTGTTGCACATATTCTCTTCGAATGTTTTCGAAGTGAGTGACACTACGGGTGAGAGCATGTTGCCGACGCTGGCTGTTGTCAATGATAGTGCTGTGGTAGACAAGCGATACAAATACGGCAGAAATGTAAAAATGGGGGACCTGATCGTGGCACGGAAGCCCACTGAGCCTTCAAGTTTGGTGACGAAACGAATAACTGGGATGCCAGGAGATATAATCCTCATTGACCCGTCCAAAAATTCGCTCCAAAGATTGAGCCTGGAAAACCATGACATGCAGGAGATAACTCCTATGGAGAACAGCAGCTATGACAACTACGTAATTGTTCCCAAAGGTCATGTCTGGGTGACAGGTGACAACCTTAACGCGTCTCTGGATTCAAGAACGTACTCCGTTGTTCCGCTCGCTATGATTGAAGGGAAACTGGTCTACGCTTGGTATTTAACGGGAATGCTCTCTATGTTTACCAATTCACCTAGAAAACTGGCCAATACTTTTGTGGAGGAGTGATGGCAGCATTCAATCATCTTTTGCCTGCTTGGCGAAGCTGATACAGCTCTTTCAGGACTTTGGAACCGACATAGACACCCACAGGAGCCACTATCAAAGTTCTATAGATGGTAGTAAAAATTGATGCGCTTAAGAAGTAGTGGATAAAGATGTTTTCAAGCAATGCCAAACACACGAAAAACTGGACAGTGTATCCGCAAGGCAGTTTGCCAATGTTGTCAAAGTTCACTGCATCAAGCCGGTTCCATGAGATGAACAGCGCCGCCATCAAAGCAACGACACCACCGATGAAAATTATAGAGATGATTGGGTTGACGTATTTTTGAGGGCTCTTGAACTGGTGTATTATTTCTGGTTTTTTGCCAAAACGCTCAGGCTTGGGACTCGAGTGCAGATTTGAGTGTATCTGTCCGACTTTCCGGATCATATTATATTCCTTAACCTTATCCCCAATCAAAACGCTAACATCGATTTGGGGACCTTGCTTAATATATTTGGAGAGTTTGCTCACTGGAATATCCAGCTTAGCCCGGGAATCTTTGATTTTTGGGTAGTAGTATGAGTCAACATCATTAGCTGTCAGTAGGATGCTCACTTGTTGTGGAGTGCTTTTCAGCTTTTCACCCTTGTCTAGAATATCAAACTGGATTTCGATGGATTTACTAGTAGATTCTAAGCCAATTGGTGAACCCTCAAATGAGACGGCCGCGCCATCAATACTGAGGAAGCCATTCGCAAGATCCAAGGTCCAGACAGGGACACACAATAACAAAAACGCTAAGGACAGCATGCTAATAATGAGAATGTTTTTTAGCTCGCGAGTTCAAAAAGGGTGCACGACATGGAATGTCAGCTATCGATAAGCGATTTCTTAGTTGGACTGAGCAGTGTCGCCCGAGTAGCGTAATGGTTAACGCGTTTGACTTCTAATCAAAAGATTCCGGGTTCGACTCCCGGCTTGGGTGCTATATTTTTAGGTTTTTTTTTTCGTAGCTGGCTCACTTTGAGGTGAACTTTATTAACGTATGCTATTTCTTAGGTTTTACCAAATGCTATTTCCCTTTTCGTGCCCTTTGCGTGTGGTAGGTCCTTCCAGCAAACTTGATCGAGGCCTTAGGATTAGACAAAAAAATAGCTCGGTCCTCATCAGGGTCAGAGGTTTTACCAATGGTTACTGGCTCCTCAGAGGTCTCTTCAATCGTCACCCCGGACTGATGGTCCAGGCTTCTCCGTTTTCCCTTTCCGCCTCTTCGTTTATCCTCAGAAAACTCAATCACCTCCTTTACAGACCCATTATCCTCCAAAATCATCGACACCTTCTGTTGCTGTAATTTGTTGCCAGGCTGGGTGCAGGATGTTACATCATTTTCATTTTTCGATTGTTTCGGCGAATTATCCAGCTCTTTGTGGTGAATCTCGGTGACTGGTGAGGACTGCGGTGACTTGGTTTTAGCCTCTGCTTCTGGGTCCTCAGACGACAGAGATATGTTTCGTTGCTGAGATGACTCCACGCACGCAGACTGCTGCTCTGTCTCGGGAGCCATTTCATTGGAAATTTCATCCACTATCATGACCTCATCATCCGGGACTTCATCAGCACTATGCGCTTCGGCCCCTGCCGAAGGTTCTCTGATCCCTTTGGCTCGTAGTGTTCCGTAGGTTTCGGTACCAATGACCGAGCTGTCTCCACCATTGGCTTCGACTTGCTCTTTGAGTAGCTTGAGCAGAACCTCGCGTAGCTGCATCCTAATGACTTTGCGCTCCCCCTCATCGAAAAGCTTGGTGGAAAGTGAAGCAGTGGACTTTTTGCGGCGGTGCTCTGTGAGGATCTTAGCCCTGAACTCCTCCGGACTGTCAAAGAATTTTTTGCAATTATAAATAACATGCAACCCACAGTCGTTGAAATTCTTTTGCTGCGGGATGTTGCAACTGTACTTGCGAATTTGTCCTATCGGGATATCTAAATGGTATTTGTCTCTGGCATACTCCACTAGAAAACTTTTTATTGGAACTGCGATGTTGGGATGAGCTTTCTGGAGAGAGTCTAGCACAAATATGCTTGCTAACGGTTTTTTCTTATTGACCAACAGCCCATCCATAGGCTCTGGCTCGTTGGTTTCATTGTATCTGCGAAGACGTGGTAGGTTAGTAATGACAACAAAAAACCAGTGCAAATCTGTCATTATTGGAATCACAATGTAATCATTATCAAATAAACTGTCATTTGACTTGAACCACGTTCTAACGTTTGAGTAGTAGTCGTTATCGGAACTGCACATCGTCAACTTGGTATAGAAAAAAGAGTTGAACAGCTCGACTCGCGCGCTGCCCAGAGAGCCTGCTTCTCGTGCCTGCTGCAAATTGTACTGTAGGAAAAAATCCACAATCGAGTCATTCACCCAATTGCCGTTGTATAGCGAGTTGAAGTCTTTGTTAGACACGATGATAGACTTTTTGGACGCAAACCTGTATTTCAGAGGTGGATCAAACACAATCTGCTCGTCGCGCGAGATGTCTTCATCCTGAATTTCGGCATCATACTCCAACGGATCGTCTATACTATCTGTCAGTGATAAACGCAATGAACGTGTACGAGTTGTGTTGAGGATATTTCCTGGCTCCAAATCAGAGGTGAACGTTTTTGCTGGTCCGTAAAAGTTTGCGGGAGGAGTCTCAGGAAGCTTTGTTTGATGGTTGCCAGTTTTGGGTTCTCGATCTGACTCGCTTTTCAAATAGTAATTGTTCATGTCCGAAGCGGTGAGATAGTTGCATACCAGGTGGTCCTCAAAATTTCGCATGAGCTTGTTGTAGGGCTCCTCGTCGTTCAAACTGAGGAACACCCATAATTTGTCTATCCGTACGCTCTCGTTGCGAAGCGTTCCTGTGATGCTTGATCTGAGCGTCACGACAAAATGATATGAGCTGTCTGGATTGGAGCATATATCCACAAACCTGATATCCGGAAACGGCACGGATACATACACATCGTTCGTGTGTTGCAGACTGTAGATAGTCAGACGGCGATTTTGGCAGTTGAACCAGATGTGCTCTGACACAGTGCTGGGCGACTTTGCCGCAGATTTGAACAGCTTCACGCGTCGCACTGCCAAATGTACTCCTTCATCTTCCTTTTCTGGAGCAGGCTGTTCCCTAGTGTCTAAATCTATGCTGCGTGGTATGGCGATCTTTGTAGCGGGCTGTTTCTGCAGATTGTCCGAGGGCCTGAGCTGTCTGAGCTTTTTGCTTCTAAATCGTAGATTGTTCAGAGATGCAAATGCCTTCCGCTTGTACGGAGGGTCCTTATTAAACATCGACAGCAAAATTGCAATATTTGTGCTTTGGTCCCTTCCTCCTAATTTATTTACACTAGTAAATGACAGAAGTGAAAATATCAAAAAATTTTCAGAACCCAAGGACCGTCATGTTGGCCGGACATATTGTGCAGAAGCGCGTGGCGTTGCAAGCTACAGGCCTGGGAGTCAGGGCATTTTCGATATCAGGAGCTCGTTTATCTGGCCAGAAGTCGCCTATCCAAGTGTTTGTGGACACATTTCGCAGCGAGCTCAAAAAGAGCACAGAGCTCACTGACCAAATCAAACAGCTCAAGAGCGCCACCGACGAGATGGGAGAAAGTGAGGCTTTTAAGAAAGCCAAGGAGGCGTACAACGCTGCACAGAAATCGTCTGGAGCGTTGGCAAAGGGAGTGCACAAGACAGCTGAGGTCGTGGGAGATGTGGCACACAAGGCATGGGAGTCGCCTGTGGGAAAGGGAGTGCGGACGACGGTTGAGAAGACCGCCGAGACGGTCGATCAAGTGATTGAGCCGATCCGGAAAACCAAGACTTACCAGGAGGTGACCAAAAGTCTCGACGAAGGCGCTTCCAAATATGGATTATACGAGAGCAAGGAGCAGAGACGGCTTCGTCGTCTGCGCGAGCTGGAGAACAAGCCAAAGCCCATTAAGAGAGACGAGGATGCCGGCACTGCCATAGTTGCCACCAATATGAAGTCTGAGAGCAGCATCAAAGACAAGATCAAGATTAAACCCAACTCTGCCATTGGAAGACTGCTGGTGGTGCTGAGAGAAAAATGGGAGGAGGCAGAGAACCCACTGTTGGTGCTGATCCGGACCATTATCGACAAAATCGGTAGCTTTTTCGCCGAAACCGAGGGTGCCAGAGTCATCAAGGCTTTCAGAGAGCTGGACCCTAATTTTAACACAGAAAGTCTGACTAAACAGCTCAGAGAGTACATTGTGCCAGAGGTTTTAGAGGCATATATCACAGGAGAGGAGAAGGTCCTGAAATTGTGGCTCTCGGAGGCTCCGTTCAACATCATAGCTGCACAGCAGAAACAACTCAGAGACCAGGGTCTGATTTCGGATGGCCGTATTTTGGACGTGAGAGACGTCCAGATTGTGTCGTCACGTATGTTGGAGCCTAACCAGATTCCTGTTTTCGTCGTTAGCGCTAGAGTTCAGGAAGTTAACCTCTACAGAAAGGCCAAGACTGGCGAAGTGGTGGCAGGTACCGAGGAGGATATCCTGTTGTCTGCCTATGCCTTGGTGATAACGCGCGTCCCGGAGGAAATCGACAATCCAGAGACAGAGGGATGGAAGATTCTGGAATTCGTGAGAGGTGGATCTCGGAAGTTTACTTGATGATGTACATAGAAATGCCGCGCGTTATACCGTTGGTAGCTGAAAATTAAGAAAATGTACTATCCATGCTAATTCTTAGGTTTTCTCTTTTTAAACGTGGGCTTGGGTTTGGGTTCCTTGACTTCCGAGTCCGAGTCGCTGGAGAATTCCTCGTCAATCGGTTTTTCGTTGAGTCCCCACTCTTTAAGCTCTTTTTCGGACCTGGCGATTTTTTTTTCTCGGACCCCTGTAGGCACCGAGTATGTAGGTCTTTCTGGCTCATGGAGATGTTCTTTCACTAATGGTGCCGCCACTGGGCTTTCTATTCTTGTGGGGGATTTCTCTCTGGTTCTGTTGAGTTCTTTCTCGGCCTGTCGTGTAAGTTTCTCTTGCTGCTGTTGTCGTTCTCGAAACCCTTTCAACAAACGGTTCAGCGCAGCCCTGTGACCTGCGCTGGCCTCATGGCTTGCCCTCAAGTTCTCGTCAACAAACTGCGTTAGTAGTTGCAACTAATAAACATACCTTAGAGCATGTCTTGCACCAGTACCTAGCCATAGAAATGTGAAAAATTAATAGTGATTGTGCAGATAGTGCTGTAGTTGTGATTCCATTTACATAAATAATTTCTACAACGTCTACTTTTGTTCCGATTTCTTCTCATCCTCTTCCGGTTTCTTGTCTTCATCGTCCAAACTCAGCTTGTCCTTGACAATAACCTTCTGGTCCTTCTCCTCCACGTTCTCGCTCTCAATCAAATGCTCCTGTTCTTTCAGCACATTCATACGTTGCTCAAACGTGGCCTTCTCGTCATCGACATGCAACTCCTGCTCGTGGTAGAACTCTTCAGGCAGCGAGTTGAGAACATTTTTCAGTGCTTCGTAATGAGAGTAGTTCTCAGTATTGCCGTACGAATATGCGTTGGCAAGGATCATAAGAGTGGACGGGATTTTCTCACGTAATCGCATATCAAGCCAGATCTGCAGCAGTTCACGCAACCTCTCCGGGGGAGTATCTGCAGTACGAATTCCACGGGAGCCACATGCAACTAGAAGTTCTGCCGGAGATAGGGACTTGACACCCTCGTAGTCAATCAGCTTGTCATCCTTCTTGATCTTGAGCATCTTGTGCCGGATACGGTACCGCAAAATTTGGTCGGTGCCAAATGGGCGCAAATTGATGTACTTTGCCATAGCAATTAAAATACCTCTCGAAACATTATCCAGAATCAAGTCGTCTTTGAAGAGCTTAGCCACACGCAGTAGCTGCTCTTTGCTAATCTCCTGAGACCGGCCGCTTTTTAATTTCAGGTAAAGATCCTTGTAGTCCGCACGCTGTTCCTCGGTAATGGTGGAAGGAAGTTTTATATGTTTGGCCTGGGTCCTCAGGATTTCACTCACCTTAGTTCTCGTGATCCGCAACTTCTTGAGATTCTTCTCTTTGTCGGTCTTTGATTCATAAGTGGAAGGTAGCAGATTTGGAAATAGTTTAAGGGCAACAGGTAACAGCAGTTCGGCAAACGGAATCAGCACAAACATGGCAAACGGGAACAATCGAAGAACATCCGAGGTGGTTCTCTGTAGCTGTCTGTACTCTCTTCTTGTGAGCTCGTAGCCAGAAGCCGCTTTGAGCACCAATTTGGACGAGATTTTGATTTCCATGCCCAACAACTTGGTACCTGCCCAGTAGTGTTGGGCCTCGTGCTTTACTTTCTGCCAGACGGTGGGTTTCGGGGCCGAAGAGTTGAAGCGCAAGCCCAGAGAGTAATTCAAGGGCACTGATTGCCCAGCACACAGTCTGCCACCTAAAAGCACGGTCCTGGTGACAATTCTTGGATCGTGGATTCGTAGCATATCTTAAGCAAAATAATAATTAAGGACACAAATTTCCTCGTCTACACCTGAGACCAGAGGCACCCGTCGTCGGATTAGGTTCGGACCTCATTCTTGGGGTATGAGTGTCAGGGAGAATCATTGGGATACATGCCCAGATGTCCCTGGTGCCTTCGATATCACTAGAAAACAGCGATAAGGAGCACAACCTAGCAGATTGTGACGGTCCTCTGTTGAGTTATGTGCTTTACACTACTCTAAAATTTTTACCAAATCTTCTTTATGGTTAAAAGAGACAGAGAGCCAGAATCGGGCGTCAATGACACTGACCAGGGTCCTGCGGCAGTCGAGGTGAACCACAGACCTCACAAGAAAGCCCAGATAACCTCGCAGGATGTTCAGATTGCCCGAGAAACGGCTGAACTGTTCAAGTCCAACATCTTCAAGCTTCAGATCGACGAGCTTGTGAAGGAACTGCGTCTCAAAGACTCGCACTGTAAGTTGATTGAGCGTGTTCTTCACCGGCTTTATGAAATTATTCAGTCCATTCCCGCCTCAAAGGCATATTCTCTGGAGGAGGCTGAGAGCTATTTCGAAAAGTCGAAAAACGAGGTTGCAATACCATTCCCTGATCCCAAGCCTACCTCAATCAACTACAAACTGCAATACGAGTCTCCAACAGACGTTTCACTGGTTGGGTCGTTTGGTTTGAAAACTGGCATCCAGCAGCCAGATGGCATGGCAGTCGACGTTTCTCTCACCATGTCTAAATCCATGTTCCAGCCTAAAGACTATCTAAATTACAAAGCTCTCTACAAAAGAGCTTTCTATATTGCATACCTTGCAGACCAGCTGATCACGCTAACGGCAAAAAATCACCTGCCGGTTAGAATATCCTACGAGTACGTGAATGGCGATAGATTGTGTCCAAGCATCAGGATAGATAGTGTCACGCCAGATAAAGTTCACGACAACGATCTAGTATTTGAGGATACAAACTTTAGAATCAGGCTTCTGGTCGGATTCGAGTATGGGTTGTTCGAAAGCAAAAAACTTCTTCCCGATAGGAACTGTGTCCGCATTCAAACCGACGACGAGCTACCTCCAACGCCTCTGTACAACTCTTCCATCCTGTCTTCCACAACCTACAAATACTATCTCAAGTACCTATACGCCACAAAGAAGACCACCGACTCCTTTAGAGATGCGACGGTGCTAGGAAAGCTCTGGCTGAGACAACGTGGCTTTGGCTCCCATTTTAATAAAGGCGGTTTTGGACATTTTGAGTTTGCTGTACTGATGGCTGCGCTTTTGGCGGGCGGTGGTGAGAACGGGAACAAGGTGTTGCTCCACGGTTACTCTAGTTACCAGCTATTTAAAGGGACGATCAAGTACTTGGCCACGCAGGACCTCGTCGACGACGGGTATCTTTCATTCAGTTCCATTGTTGGCGATAGTGGCTCAATTTACAAAAAGGGCGGATTTAACATCCCAACTCTGTTCGACAAGACTACCAAGATCAACATTCTGTGGAAAATGACGGCTTCTTCCTACCAAGCGTTGAAAAAGCAAGCAAGTGAGACACTGGACCTCTTGAACGATGTTGTGCAAGACCGCTTTAAACAGACATTTATCTACAAAAACACACAAAAGTACTTACAATATGACATGTTTGTGTCGGTTCCATTGAAAGATTTGAACCAGCAAGACAAATTTGGTCCTATAGAGAAAATCACTTTCCTGACATACGAGAATTTTGTATGCAGCAAAGTCCACAGACTGGTCTCCCGTGCATTGGCTGAAAGAGCTACTCATGTTGTTGTTAGACTTTCCAATACTGAGGACAAATGGGGCATTCAAAAGAGGCGTCCTGACACCCAGGATAAACAGGTCGAGATCGGACTGTATTTGAACGCGACCGAGTGTGAAAAGAAAATCACCAAAGGCCCTCTCCATAATGATGAGGAAAACGCTATTCGGTTTCGCTCCTTTTGGGGCGCAAAAGCTCAAGTCAGAAAGTACAAAAATGGAAATATACAGTACAGTTGTCTGTGGCCTGCCAATGAGCTTACGGTGGTGTCTATTCTGAAATACGTATTTGAGCTTCATATCAGCTCCAGTGCAAAACTCGACTTTAATACAGACAGGTTCTGGAAGATGCTGCCTGTGCCACTGACCTCGAATTTGATGCAGCTAATTCCGTCCAATTTCCAGCAGCTGAAAAACTCCTACTCCGAGTTATGCAAAGTTCTGAATAAAATAGACCTCCCGCTGAGTGTCAAGTCCATTTTGCCAGCTTCGTCCGCTTTGCGAAACACCTCCCTAATACTGCCCGTTCCTTATGCCGTGTCGAACCCAGACTTCTTCAACGAGTCGATTCTACAATTTGAGTCGTCGACAAAATGGCCAGACGAGCTGTTAGCTCTCGAGCAAACAAAAACTGCATTCCTTCTAAAGATCAACGATTATCTCGCCAAAAATACAAACTACAAGTCCTACTTGGAAGAAGATCGCACTTCTGTTCCTTACAACACCGAAATCAAAGTTCTACGTGTGCTCTCGCCAGATGGTTACGGATTCAGCTTCCGAGTTTTAACCGAGCGTGACGAAGTACTATATCTTCGTGCTATCGAGAACGCTCCCGAAAAGCAACGTAAGACCGTTGCTGACATTTATTTGGCATTTAATCAGAGATACATGGGCTCCGTCAAGCATCACCGGGCCATCGCCTCTCTAAGCACGTACTTCCCATTTTATTCTGCCACAGTACGTCTTTTTAAGCGCTGGCTTGACGCGCAGCTTCTTCTGTCCCATTTCAATGACGAGCTTGTCGAGCTTCTGGTGATGAAGGTGTTTGTGGACCCTGCTCCATACTCTGTTCCTGCCAGCGTCGAGGCTGGCTTCCTTCGCACCTTACAGTTCTTGAGTCAATGGAACTGGAAGGAGGAACCACTTGTTCTTGATCTTGCAAAAGATCTTGAGAAAAGCGGAAACTACATTGATCTCGTCTCAGAACAATTGACTGTCCAGACTTACCAGACAATTAGCGGAAACTTCAGCAAACTGCGCAAGGAGGATCCACAGGCTATCAGGACACAGCTATTTGTGGCATCTAAAGAGGACCCTTCTGGAAAATTGTGGTCGTTTGGTCTTTCTCTGCCTATTGCGACAAGACTGACTGCTCTCAGTAAGGCTGCCGTGGCCGCTGTCAGCAAGACGCTTAACCAGAAAACTTTGAACCTAATATTCACTCCGGCGCTGAAAGATTATGATATTGTGCTAAAGATCAGAACGCCTGTCGAGCTGGCCTCAAAGTCTGGTATCTTGCCAGAAAACAAATTCAAAAATCTGGTGGCCACGTCGTTGGTGGCCTCCGATGACATTTCTTCCGAACAGGACCCAGTTCCTGCATTCTGTAGCGAGTTGAGGGCTCGCTTCAGTAACGTGATGCTCATCTCGTGCGGGAAGTACACCGGACTCAGAAAAGAAGGCCGTTGCAACGTTATCGCTGGCATACTGAACCCAGTGATAGGAAATTCCAAAAAGAAGTTTCGGGTTAACGTTGGCTACGATGTCGAGCCTACCGATGATGAGCAGCTCAAACTTAATAAACATTCTCTGCTCAGTCAAATTGCGCTCCTGGGTGGTGATTTGATTGAATCTGTAGACTTAAATAGGTGGGAATAATATAGAGTAATTCATAAGAACGAATATACATGGGGCGTGAATGTTTGAGGCTAACGAAGTAGTCGTATGTAAAATACTCTAGCTAATTGTCACACACAAGATTAGCGGTCTCAAGTCTCTCAATGAACTCGTCTCCACTGGCTTGTTTAAAGAAAGGCTTGATTACCTAACACTAAGTCTTCAATTTTTTTTTGTAACCTGACTCCTTTTGCCTATTTATGAAAATACGAGCGGAATTGGAAAGACAACTTTCGATGAACGATGAACGGGTCATAAAAGCAAGGAAAATAGAACACAGGAAGAATCTTACCACGAGGCTTGACATCTCATGCTATCTGGCGCTCATAATACTCTATCTTGCTGATGAGAACCTGATACTACTCTTGCTGCGAGGCTTCCAGCAGTTCATGCTTGGCCACCCTCCAAACAGCATAGAAGCGTCAGCAGTGCTTACACCCGCGATTCAGCGGATACTTGCACAGAAAGTGTTGTCATTGGGGCTAGCATTCAACGTGTTAGGCCTGATAGTCCACATTGCATTTTCAGCGCGCGCAGGTTTGGGTCAAAGCATATCGTACGGTGCATACATCATAAATATTATGGGGGAGAACAGGTTCGAAGGATGGTTCTCGAAGCTGTTGTACCTGCTGTTGTGGGATTTTGTGCTGGTGGCACTGCAATTTTCGCTCTACAGCATGAACTTTGTCAAGCAGGATTTGAACAGTGCCGAGGACAGCGACGTCGTCGCGTCGATCGACGTCGTGAAGATAGTCCAGTACGTGAATCTTATAGAACGCGCGCAAGCACCAAGACCGTCATTGAGCGAGATGATGCCACGACTGGGGGTCTGAGGGGGATTCTATTAGTAAATTACATATTTCCAATAGGACAGTTACGCAGGTACTCGGCCTTTGTCTTGAGAACTCTGATAGATTTGTAGAAAATCTCTTCTGGAGGCATGGCGCCTGTTGACTCAACGTTGAATATGAAATGGTCTCTTTTCCGACCCAGCTTTACCTTTCCTTCAAACTCCTTGTGTCTCAAAACTTCCCTTGAAACGGTGTCTTTTCTAGCGTCGGCAACGTATGCTGCACCGTTGGAGTCAATGCCAATAACGCCGGAAGGGAAGCATTTCTGGAACTTCACCGCGTCGTCGCCCGTTATCGGCTCTAGTATGTCAATCGTTGGAAGCAATCTATAGGATGCAGTGCTGACTGGAGAGAACTTGGCGTGATCAGCTCCAATGCCTAGAACACAGTGAACTCTGAGCGAGATCTCCTGGTTTGGACGCAGTTTCGCAATTAAGATGTCTGGATCACAAGGAACAACGGGACAGTTAGCGAACTGGGTGACCTGGCGTCCATTTGGCTCGAATTTGAGGTCTCTGGCATAAACGTTGGAATTTCTGTATAGATTCTCTGGGTCGTTGTTTCCGGGGATGGCATTCGGATTTTTCGTGCATGCCACATCCAGAGACAACACAATAGTATTTTCGTCCGTGAACTTATCTTCCTCCTCTGCATTTGGGTCGATCCAGGTAAGCATGTCTGGATCGACCTTCAAAGGCACGAGACCAATTCTATGTGCGAGAACTTCGTCCTGGATGACCGAAGTGTTATTAAAGATGTACACATACTCTGCTGCAACAGAAGGCACCTCAGCGATCATGATACGGCGGAAAGCATTGGCAATAGATGTGTCAATCCCCACCAAATCAAAGTTGGCAGTTCTCTGTGTGAGGTAGGAGATATTGAGCTGGAAGTTCTTCTTGAAATTCTCCAAATCCCAAGCATACTCTCCATTTGCAGAATACCCCGGAAAGTCGGTCGCCGTGGTATTACTGACCCGATCGTGCTCTATGTTAATGATATTCGACATGGGAAATATTTCAAGCAAAAAAAAAATTAAAAAAAATTTATGTGCATACGGAACAGCGTGCATAAAAAGAGCTAGTCTGCTTTCCTGATACCACCTACGTAGAGAGAAGAGTAGTTAGCTATTGATCAGCGGATTGCAATTTCTATAGCTATGATAGGCCTGGTGTGTGATATTCACATCACAAAGTTCCCTTCACATAGACGATCTCTGTGATCACTGACCAACAAAGAACCGCAACCAGCAACCACTCTTGCTTGAACAGTTGAGCAGATCTCCATTGCTCAGCTCCGTCGGTGGCGGCGCGGAGCACCTTTTACCAAGAGCACTCCGCTCAGCTGTCTCAATCACCGCACTCTTCAGCTCATCTCTACACCGGGTCAAAAATACAAATATATACTATTCTTCCTTTGACACAAAATGTCTGACAGGAACGAGTCGTCCAATCAACCTTCCGCAACAGACGCTGCTGTTGCCTTGACCAATATGCCAGTTTCAATGAGTCCGCCTCTACCAGCCCGTCATCAGGGCCACACAACTGTCACTAGTGTGCATGCTTCAGATGATCATACAGGGGATCACCCTCCGGCCTTGCCGCATAGGCCACCTCGTTCAAAGAAGTACGGCCTGGATCGTATATCCACGGATGATTTTGAACTAACTACACCGATTGGGTCTCCAAGGGTCCCGAAACAGGGCGCAAATTCAAGGCCGCCTGCTGACCCTGCTTGTGATACTACAAGTCTTCATCAGAAAACGCTGGATTTCCTGTTGGAAAACCAAACATCCCGAGTTGTAGGTCTGTTTTATGAGCTTCCGGAAGACTTAAAAATCCCGGATGGCGAATACTACAACCAATTGAATGCAGAAGACCATTTGATAGAGGTTAGAAGCGAGGTGGAGGCCAAGAACTTCAACAACCCGGACCAGCCCACGGTATACAAGCTCTGGCTAAAGAGCATGAAACTGAAGAAATTTGGCCCTATCACAGTCAGCAATCCGGAACTACTGGCACAGCTCGAGTCGGCTCAAATCGAATCCGAATCTGTTTTACCCCAACTGGCATCTGTGTGCGGCAAACTAGGGACCAAGTCGCTGCCCCCGCTCGTCCTATTCATCCACAGTCGTCTTCAGGACCCAGAAATCACGTTTATCCTTGCCAAGCTGTATAGCAAGATAGACATGACGAGATGGGTGTTCATGGTTCTGCGCTCCACAGAGAGGACAAACGCGTCAATGTTAATAAGTTGGCACGAAAAGCACAGGGATGTTGCGGATTTCGTGCAGAAACAGCTAGAAAGCGTCAACTTCTGGAAGCCGCTAACGGCACAGGAGCTCGATTTGGTGGTCCACCGGGTGGTAGTCTACGGATTTGACTCGATTGTCGGCGATGTTGCTAGTATGCTATGTGGTGGCAAACCAAAGAGTGGTATTGAGAGTCAGCTCATATGGGACGATCACGAATATGAGCTTCTAAACGAGCCACTCAAAGAGCCCCACGATCTGCTCCGTGAGCAAAATAAATTGCACAAATTGCAGGAAGAACTAGAGACAAAGAGGAAACAGTATACGGAGTTGCTCAATAACTACAGGCAGCTGAACGAGGAACGATTCAGCAACCAAACAATGATCAAAAAGCTGGAAGCAAACAATGGACAGTTGAGGTTGAAGTGGAACGAATGCGAACGGAAGCTAAATGCCCAATTGTCTAATTTCGAGGTGATTAAGGTAAACAATGAGAAAAATGCCGAAATAGACAAAATCAACCAAAAATTGCGACTCGAGATTGACCGCGTACAAGTCGAACTAGCCGAGTTGAGGGCCAAGAAGCTAAGGCATTAGAATATGTGTAAATAGATAAGTTCGAACGCATAAGCTTATTTCTGTCGATGACGTCATAAAACAGAGAGTCTCCATACCACGGAATTCCAATGGAGTGGAGTTGTGTCCCGGTAGGCAGGGAAATTTTTGGGTGATGATGAAATTTTCTATTGTTTGTGGAATTCCGTAGAATAGTTTTTTTGGGGAAACCTGAAGTGGGTCCCCAGAAAAATCGTCATAATCCTGGTTGGAGAGGTCTCGGTACTTGACAAAATAACCCACCATGCTGTGTACGCCAGAAAAAGAGGGGCCGATTCTTGCCAAGCGACGTTGAGATCTCGGCTTGCGCTTTCATGCTTCCGCAACGGAAGAAAATAGTAAACCACCATCTTCCAAGTACTTTCCAAGCTCTCGGGTGTTCCATTCCATAGACATGCCCACTCCTCCGCAAACAAATAAAGCCCCCTTTGCCTAAAAACAATGGATTCTCCAGGAATATAATCCGCTTTTCACAGGTAAGATCTGCGACCCAAGATGGTCAGAACAGTATATATAAAGTGCCGCGTTCGAAAAACAACTCTATAATCTCGGTTTACAGAATGTCTTCCGAAAAACTCTCTGACTCTCCTCATGAGAACGGCCTCTTTGCCTCCACCAGTGAGGACGGCACCGGTCTGGCTGAGCCAGTTGATCAAAACGTTCTTTCGCAATATAGCGAGGAAGAGGTGATGAATCTCGGACGCGCCTACGCGAGACAAAACGACCTTGATGAGGAACTTTTTGCGCACGCTGCTGCCATTGCCAGAAGCCCTTCCAAGTTCAACTCCATGGACTTCCTCACTGAAGAGGAAAAAAAGGCTCTGTACGACGAGATCCATCACCCGTGGAAATTGCCGAAAACCCTCTACTGGCTTGTCTCCACGGCCTCCATGGCCGCATGTGTGCAGGGAATGGATGAAACCGTGATTAACGGTGCCAACCTTTACTATCCTGGGAAACTCGGCATTGGAAGCGGCTCCGACCACGACACTTGGCTCGTGGGTCTTGTCAACTGCGCTCCATACCTCTGCTGTGCCACAATGTCTGTGTGGTGCACAGACTACCTTAACAACAAATTTTCCAGACGTGGTGTGATCTTCTTGTGCAGTATTTGGGGTACTCTCTGTTGTATCTGGTCTGCTCTGACCAACACGTGGTGGCATCTGTTTATTGCCAGATTTTTCCTAGGCTTCGCTATTGGTCCTAACTCGACCACTGTTCCCGTTTACTCCTCCGAGTGTGCTCCAGCCAAAATCAGAGGCTCTCTGGTGATGAACTGGCAAATCTGGACTGCGTTTGGAATCATGCTGGGAGATGTCTTTGGACTTGCCTTCTACAAGGTGCCAGATCGCGGGATCTCCGAAGGTCTTCAATGGCGTCTGATGCTGGGTTCTGCTTGTCTGCCTTCGATCATAATTCTTGCGCAAATTCCATTCTGTCCCGAATCTCCAAGATGGCTCTTGGGTAAAGGAAGAGACCGTGACGCCTTCGAGTCGCTCGTCAAGATGAGACACACTCCTCTGCAAGCGGCTAGAGACGCCTTCTACAGTCATCTTTTGCTTCTTGAGGAAGGAGACATGAAAGCATCCTTCTTCACAAAAATCAAGGAAATGGTCACTGTCAGAAGAAACAGAAATGGTGCTGTCGGTGCCTGGGTCTGTATGTTCATGCAACAGTTCTGCGGTATCAATGTTATTGCATACTATTCGTCCACGATCTTCCGTGACTCTGGATTCTCTGTCAGAGACTCTCTTATTGCTTCCTGGGGATTTGGTATGCTCAACTGGGTGTTTGCACTGCCAGCCTTCTTTTCCATTGACAAGTTTGGCCGTAGAACACTGTTGCTGTTTGCTTTCCCTATGATGGCTGCCTTTTTGCTGCTCGCAGGATTTGCGTTTTGGATCCCCGAGGAACACAAACAAGCCAAAGTGGGTGTTATTTCCCTGGGTATCTATTTGTTCACGATTGTTTACTCCTCGTCGGAAGGTCCAGTTCCGTTCACGTATTCTGCTGAATGCGCTTCGCTGAGAGTCAGAGATGTGACGATGTCCTTCGCTACTGCCACCTGCTGGTTTTTCAACTTCATTCTGTCTTTGACATGGCCATCGATGCTGAAGGCATTCAAGGCGCAGGGAGCTTTCGGTTGGTACGCCGGCTGGAACATTGCTGGGTTCTTTATGGTTTTGTGGCTGCTGCCAGAAACTAAGGGTCTCACGCTGGAAGAGTTGGATGAGGTGTTTGACGTTCCAGCAGTTGAACATGCAGCCTACCAAACCAGAAACCTCTTCAACGGGTTCCGCAAGAGAGTGCTGCGCCAAAGCGTGGAGCCTCTGCCACCTCTTTATACAAAACGACGTATGGCGGTGACCTCAGATTGGGAGGCACGCAAGAACGAAGTCAAGCACATCGAGTAAGATAATTAAGTAGTAACGTGAATTGCGAAATTATCTGTCATGTCCCGAAAAACTACCTGGGCTCTGTCTGTATTGTGAGGTTAACAATTATAATAAAAAATAACATCCCGGGGACGTGTGCGGCTTTGTGGTGGGGTCGATTATTTAGGAAAAGGCATGTTTTCTTGCTGCCAAGATTATTTCAGTTTGCATAACAGAGGTCCCATGACGTAACACATCCCTAGTCACTCAAACACTTGTAGGAGGGGAGACATCTTGGCGTTGTATAAATAGGCCGTGTTTCCCACCTGCAGTACCTCCAAAAATGTCTTCTGAAAAGATTTTGGACTCACCAGATGAATCTCTGCTCCAGGAATTCAATGTCCTCAGCAACTATTCTGAGGAGCAAGTAATGGCCATGGGACGAAACTATGCCCTAAAATATGACCTCGACCCGGAGCTATTCAGCCGTGCCGCGGCTGTTGCTCGGTCCCCCAACAGATTCAACTCGATGGAGTTCCTCAGCGAAAGCGAAAAAGAGGCTCTCTACGAGGAAAACCACCATCCTTGGAGGTTGTCGGGCCAGTTGTACTGGCTGATTATCATGGCCTCGCTAGGTGCTGCCGTTCAAGGTATGGACGAGACCGTCATTAACGGTGCGCAGCTATACTACCCTAGCGAATTCGGCATCGACAATGGAACTGACCGTGACACCTGGCTGGTGGGTTTGGTGAATTGCGCTCCTTACCTGTGCTGCTCTACCATTTCGTGTTGGATGACTGATTGGATGAACGAAAAGCTTTCCAGAAGAGGAACCATTTTCCTTACGTGCACGATCTCGGCTCTAACTTGCATCTGGTCGGGTCTCGTCAACAACTGGTGGCATCTGTTCATTTCTCGATTTTTCCTGGGTTTTGGAATCGGTCCGAAATCTACCACCGTGCCAGTTTACTCGTCTGAATGTGCTCCAGCCAAAATCCGTGGTTCGTTGGTCATGATGTGGCAGATGTGGACCGCCTTTGGAATCATGTTTGGCTACGTGATGTCTCTGGCATTCTACAAAGTTCCTTCGCACAATATCCACAAGGGACTTGGATGGCGGTTGATGCTTGGTTCTGCTTCGCTCCCAGCGTTCCTAGTCATGATCCAGGTGTGGTTCTGCCCAGAGTCCCCTAGATGGCTTATGGGTAAAGAAAGGCACAAGGACGCATACAACTCGTACCTGAGAATCAGAAAACACGAGATTCTTGCTGCCAGAGACTGTTTCTACTCCCACGTCCTACTTTTAGAAGAGGCTTCGTACGAGCTGCCATTCTGGACCAAGGTGAAAGAGATGTTTACGGTCAGAAGAAACAGAAACGGAGCTATGGGTGCGTGGGTTGTCATGTTCATGCAACAGTTCTGTGGCGTGAACGTTATTGCATACTACTCGTCCTCTATTTTCAAGGAGTCCGGCTTCAGCGACCGTGACGCTCTGATTGCTTCTTGGGGATTCGGCATGCTCAATTGGGTGTTCGCCGTTCCGGCCTTTAGAAACATCGACAAGTTCGGAAGAAGAACGCTGCTTTTGTTTGCGTTCCCAATGATGGCTGCATTTTTGCTGCTAGCCGGTTTCGCGTTTTGGATTCCAGAGGACAAAAAAGACGCCCGGGTCGGAGTCATCTGTCTCGGAATCTATCTGTTCACTATTGTTTACTCTTCGTCAGAAGGCCCTGTTCCATTCACTTACTCGGCAGAATGTGCTGCTCTTTACGTTCGTGACGTCACAATGTCCTTCGCCACGGCAACTTGCTGGTTCTTCAACTTCATTCTGTCGCTTACCTGGCCATCTCTGTTGAAGGCATTCAAGCCACAGGGAGCCTTTGGCTGGTATGCCGCCTGGAATATTGTTGGATTTTTCCTGGTGCTGTGGCTGCTGCCAGAGACTAAAAACCTTACTCTGGAGGAGCTGGACGAGGTTTTCGACGTGTCTGCGGCCGAGCACGCCAGATACCAGACCAAGAACCTGTGGAACGGTGTTCAGAGAAAGATACTGCGCCGTGACATTCCTAAGATGGAGCCACTGTACCATTCTCACCGTGTGGCCATCAAGAACAACGAGTGGGTCGAGATGAAGCACGGCGAGGCCGAGCATGTGGAGGCTGAGTAAGTACTCACTAGTTTTGATGTAATTTTTTTCTGCGCAGTAAATTACTGAACTTATGCATATTGGTAGCAAGCATCAGCAATGCAAAGAAGGAAGAAAAAAGGTTCAAGTGTAAATTTTAGACAATATGGACCAAGACACTCAAGTACACGAGTCGAGGCAACACGATACCCGATTAGGCTTTTTTGGCGAAGAAGGCAGGTCTTCTGCCTCCTCCTGGGACGCAGAGAAGTCCGCCAGCGATGGATTAGAACCTGACGTCAACGTTTTGTCGAATTATTCGGAGGCACAAGTCCGGACCATGGGCAGGAACTACGCTTTCAAGTACGGCATGGACCCGGACCTATTCTCGAAAGCGGCAGCCGTGGCAAGAAGACCAAGTTTCTTTAACTCGATGGAGTTTCTTTCGGACGATGAGAAAGAGAGTCTTTTCGAGGAGGCAGAGCACCCGTGGCGACTGTCAGGACAGCTTTACTGGCTGATTGTGATGGCATCTATGGGCGCAGCCGTCCAGGGCATGGACGAGACGGTGATCAACGGCGCCCAGCTACAGTATCCATCGTATTTTGGTATTGCTGAAGATACCGAGAGAAATACATGGCTGATAGGGCTAATCAACTCTGCGCCGTATCTGTGCTGCTCAACCATTTCGTGCTGGATGTCTGACTGGCTCAACGAGAGGCTTTCGAGAAGAGGCACCATTTTCTGGACCTGTTTCGTCTCTGCCATCACGTGCATCTGGTCTGGCTTGACGAACAATTGGTGGCATCTGTTTATTTCTCGGTTCTTTTTAGGGTTTGGCATTGGCCCCAAATCGTCTACAATCCCCGTTTACTCGTCTGAATGTGCTCCGCCCAAGATCCGCGGCTCGCTAGTGATGATGTGGCAGGTGTGGACCGCGTTTGGTATAATGTTCGGCTATGTGATGTCTCTGGCATTTTATAGAGTTCCTTCGCACTCCATACACAAGGGCCTTGGCTGGCGGCTTATGCTTGGCTCGGCAGCACTGCCGGCAATATTGGTGATGCTCCAGGTCTGGTTCTGTCCGGAGTCGCCAAGATGGCTCATGGGCAAGGGACGGCACCGTGAGGCCTTTGAAGCATACAGCCGCATCAGAAAGTCGCCGCTCCAGGCCGCCAGAGACACCTTCTACACACATGTGCTGCTACTGGAGGAGAGCTCCTACGAGGTGCCCTTCTGGACTAAAGTCAAGGAGATATTCACCGTGAGAAGAAATAGAAACGGGGTCGTTGGTGCCTGGGTGGTGATGTTCATGCAGCAATTTTGCGGCATCAACGTCATTGCATACTACTCGTCGTCGATCTTCAAAGAATCGGGATTTTCCGAAAGAGACGCGCTGCTAGCTTCGTGGGGGTACGGCATGATCAACTGGGTGTTTGCCCTGCCGGCTTTTTTCTCGATTGACAGGTTTGGCCGCCGCACGCTGCTTCTTTTCTCCTTCCCGCTCATGTCCGTCTTCCTACTTCTGGCAGGCTTTGCGTTTTGGATCCCCGACGAGAAGGCCAGGGTGGGGGTCATCGCCCTGGGCATCTACTTGTTTACAATCGTCTACGCTTCTTCCGAGGGGCCTGTGCCATTCACGTACTCTGCAGAGTGTGCTGCGCTGTATGTGCGTGACGTTACGATGTCGTTTGCTACTGCCACTTGCTGGTTCTTCAACTTTATCTTATCTCTCACCTGGCCGTCACTGCTGAAGGCATTTAGCCCGCAGGGTGCATTCGGGTGGTATGCGGCGTGGAACATGGTAGGGTTCTTGCTTGTCCTGTGGCTGCTACCTGAAACCAAAGGCCTTGCATTGGAGGAGCTGGACGATGTGTTCGATGTGCCGTCGTACAAGCACGCAGCGTACCAGACCCGGCATCTGGCAAACTGGGTCCAGCGGACGGTTTTGCGCCGGGACATACCGAAGATAGAGCCTTTGTACCGGCAGCAGCGTGTGGCAGTGCACAACCAGGAGTGGGTGGAGATGAAGCACGAAGGTGAGCACATAGAGTAGAGACATTACCTCATGTTTAGCCTTAAAATAGAATTAAGCAATCTTTGCTGCGTCATGCATGCCCCCTTACGTGTAGCTTACTGTGCAGAACACAAAAAATGTGTTTTTTTTGCATTGCCGATTTTTTTTTCCTATTCGCGGCCCGGAGGGTTGCTTTTGATGCAGCCGTCCGCGCACCAATCCCCTTCTGGTAATGCTTGCTCCATAAGGTAGTCTGTCAGTTTTAGTAGGACGGAGTAAGCGAACATAGCAGATCGACTTGATGTATATGCTGCGAAAAAGAGCAAAATAGAAGCGTAATCATAGATTTGATACTTATACTGGCTTGTCCGCCACTTCCTTTTCTGCCCTTCTTACTATGGAAACCCTCGACATACTAACAAATTCCACTCTCGACGCCTCTTCTTCCCCACGCGGCACCTCCATAAGCAACGAAACCCCTCGCTTGGGCTTCGATATGGCTCCGGCTCAGGCCTGCCAGCCACCTATTCCGCACGATATCGACTGGGAGTCCAACTACGAGCTCGGCTTGCCCGATTTCCCAGACTTGCAGCCCAAACAGTCGCTCGATTCCATGGCCGCCGCTCTAAACCTCACAGACTTTACTCCCCCACAGCAGCATTCTCCACTTAGTTTGTCGCCGGAGATCAAGCCGCCGGCCGAGCAGCCCCAGCCCCAGCTACAGGTGTCGCGCTCGCGCTCCTCCAGATGTCCCGTCTGCCGCAAACATATCACCAGAGACATGTCCCGACACCTGCGCACACACGAGCCTGTTTCGCGATTCAAGTGCGTGTATCCGCGCGAAATGTGTATCCACAAGACGGGACAATTCAACAGACCGTACGACTTCAAAAAACACCTGCTCAACTGCCACTTTGAGTTTGACGACCGCAACACCAAAAAACTGCACAACCTGAGCGACAAGCTTCCTCACACAGGCAGATGCCACTGTGGCCTCAAATGCACAGCGGAGTTCTGGCTCGACTCGCACATTTTGCCAGACTACGGCTCGTCGTTCCGCTGCGAGCACCTCAACAATCTATACGAGAAGACTGGCATGAAGCCTCCTAGCCAACGATTCAGCACAAGAGGCTAGAGAGCACGAATGATACCACGCTGCTTTATCAAAACTGCAGCAAGTGATGATTTTGCCTTTGCAAGTTCAAGCAGCATACTCTGGTCCAATTGATGGTCTTTGCGCGCGGTTACCGGTGCCGCGGCGATTTCAGGATGTGTCGCTGTGTCTCTCAAGCGAGTCTTGATTGCCTCAACGGATACTGACAGATACTTTGCAGTTTCGGAGCCTTGCTCGATCAACGGCGATGAGAATGCAGTGGACGGCGTCACCGGTGTCGCCGGAACGCTCTCTAGCGTGCTTGGAGACGCGGAAGGGGTCTCTTCCGGCCGTTTTTCCAACGACAACGGTTTCAACCAGCTCTGTGTTTCCTCCTCGTCGGCGTCCTCCTCTGCGACGATCGTCTCATTGATAATGTACGAGAGCGGATCTGTTGCGGTGGCAAACATGCCGTCGCGCGAGGCCGGACGCACAGGGTTCTCGATGTTGAACGTGCGCAAGTTCAATTTTTGGTGAGGGTTCAGAGTTTTCGTGTACAGTGAGCTCGTGAAGCCCATCGCCGAGCCAACCACGTGACCTGTTAAATGGTTCATCTGCTGCCCTGTTTTGTCCAAAAACGTTTTCTCCTGATACGACTTGTAGTCGTTGAGCAGGTCCAGCGAGTTCAGTTTGTGTTGTGCCTGCTCTATCCGCTCTTTCCAGTTGTTCAATATATTCGTGTACTCTATTTCCTGGCCGTGGACAACCACGCCCTGTAATTGCACAAATTTGTTCATGTTGCGCGTAAGAAAACGGAATATATCGCGCGACTGGTAGTAGAACTTCATGGTCAGCTTGTGCAAGAACTCGGACAACGTCTCCAACACTTGCGGGATCATCAGCTTCACTTTGGCGTCCAGATCAAGAAACACCGTGCGTGTGTCGTACATGTGGCTTTTTGTCGTTTCTAGCTTCGCCCTCTCCTTGTCGTTGAAATTGCTCGTTTTCAAGATCTTCTCCACAGAGTTGTGGTACATGTCGTAGTCGATTTTTTTATGGTTGCGTTTTGTGATGAGCTTCAATGAAGACCTGATATACTCCTTCATCTCCTCACATTGATCCACAAACCGGTCTTTGCTGACCTCCACGCGCTGGGTGACCTGGTCGTAGATGATCCGGAACAGCCGTTTGGCCTGCCGGATCTCGTTGACCGTCACGTTCGAGAACTCTTCGTTCTGGTCCGAAACCAGCTCCGGGTCGACCTTGATGTCCTTTTTGTCAAAGGGCGAGTGCAATTTCTCAAATGTGTCCATGCTGCCCAGCAGGTTGTCCAGGATACTGCCCAGACACCTACACCACTTGCGCTCCTGGACTATCAGGAACTCGAGCCCTGCAATCGCACTCTGTAGGTCGTGCTCCCAATCTCTGATCTGTTGGTCGTCGGCGCTTTTCCTTCCAATCAGTTGATGTGGACCCCTAAACAAGGCCTTCCTGGCCCCTTTTAACGACATCTTGTTTGATAATCACTAAAAATGCCCTAAATTAACTAAAAATATATATCCGGGTGCGAGGTGTAGATGTCCCCGTTTAGTCCTCTAGCACGCTCTCGTCAAACCTATTGTACAGTTCCTCCACCTCCTCCTCTGTCAGGCCTTCGGTCTCCCGCACATCCTGGACACTAAACCGGCGCCGGTCGTGGAGAATGTCGAACTCGTCGTCCTGGTCATCGCTCGGTGTTCCAAACTCACTGTCCTCGTACCCTCCGTCCTCGTCCTCGGGGTAGTCGTTTCGGTAAAAGTTCTCATCGTTCGAATCTTCATCATCGGTCTGTTCCGCGACCTCCTCCTGCTCGTCAATCGTCTCCATATCGTCTTCGTCAAACTGAATGTACCCTATCTTGTCCTTCTCCCATTGCTCTGTCACTGCCTTGTCGCGATAGTAAACGTCGTAGACGTAGTCGTCATCCTCCGGGACCAAACTTTGCGGCCTTTCCACTTCTGCAGAGGCGTTCGACATTCGTCTTTTCGGAGGCTTGTGGTGCTCCTCCTTAACGTCGCTGGTTCGAAGATAGTCTTGCAACATCTCCATCAGCTGGGGATCGATATCGTCTTCCTTTTTCGGAATGCTGAACACTTTCCTGCCCATGCTCGATTCCTCTTGTTCTAGAATCTTGGACCCGTCAACGTCGTTGTTTGTCTCGTCTGTTCTGGCTAGTTTGAACACGTAGTTCGCTGACTTCGATCGTTTCGAGCCACGGTTCTCCACTAGAAGCGCCTGCAACGGATCCTCCGTCCTTTTTCGCTTAATTCGTAAAATTTGAGGCCCTGATGACATTGTAATCTGAATAATCTAGTATTTTTTATTGCCAGATATAATATGGAATTATAATCTGCGAAAAAAATCCCTTGTTCCCCTTTTTTATATTATCCCAAATGACAGGCCCTCTGACTTCTCTTTTATACAGACTCAACAGGCAGCTTAGAAAGCTTAGCGAGTTGCTTATCGGGGCTACCTTCGATCCATTTCGCGACATTGTGTTGGTCACTGGGGGAAACGGTGGATTAGGAAAAGAGCTGGTGCTGGTGTTTACCAGAGCCCATGCCCCCGTCGTGGTATTCGACGTGAACCTCCCAGAGCCAGAAAACAGGGTTCCTGGTGTTCACTATTACGTGTGCGATGTCAGTGATCGCAAAGATGTGCTGTTGAAAAGTGCACAGGTTGCTGAGGAAGTGGGAACAATCACTATCTTGATCAATAATGCGGGTATAACCACAGGCAAAACCGTACTTGATCTCAGTTTTGAAGAAATTGAAAAAACAATCGAGGTCAACTTGTTGTCCAGCTTTTATACCATCAAAGCATTCCTTCCATCCATGCTCAAGGTGAAGAGGGGATACATTGTCACAGTGGCATCCACCTTGGGATACATGTCTCCTGCGCGTCTTAGTGTTTATGGCGCCACTAAGTCTGGTCTCATTGCTCTGCATGAGTCACTTACCTACGAATTGGGCCCTCCTTCGTTTAACACAACCGGTGTCAAGACTTTGCTCATTTGTCCTGGCCAGTTGAAAACCAGAATGTTTGAAGGAGTCAGAACGCCGCACACGCTGCTAGCACCGGAATTAGAGCCCAAGGATGTGTCTAAAGCAATTTTCAGCGCCATTGAGTTGGGTAAAAGAGGTGAGATCAAACTTCCTTTTTATGGCAACTTCTTGCCCATTTTCCGCGCTGTGCCATGGCCCATTGTTGAGGTGGCAAGGTATTTCTCCGGGATCGACACCAGCATGAGGAAATTTGTGGGCAAAACAATGGCAATCAAGGAATCTTCTGAGTCTGCGCTGACGAATGCAATTTCCGAAACGGGTTCTGTTCTCTCGGGTCTCTTAGGTTCCGGTGGATTCAGAGGTGAGGACGTGGATCCTACGAAGGAGTTGGACATCATTCCAGAGTGATTATCATTAAAAGGTAGATCGTCGTGCCGCCTGCGCGGTAGAGCAGTTTATACAGGTTTGTTCAGTCATTTCTTCTTCGCCCGCTTATTCTTTTTGGTGTCTTGTGTCTCCGTACGCTTCTTTGTCTCCGCCTTCACACTGACCTTGAAAAATCCATCCAGTCTGCCTTGCACACCTCCCTTGAGCCCCTTCTTGAGCTTTTCCACCCCGTCTCTGATCCGCTGTTCGTTGAACCCATTTTCCTTCACCATGAACTCGATCAAGCCATCTAAATCGGGCTCTGTCCATTTCAAGTCAATGTCGTCTCCATTCAATACCTCTGGATTTAAAAATAGTTGTCTCGCTTCATTATAAGGCCAGTTTTCGGGAACCTTGTATTTGCACTTGGGATCATTCTCGATAAACTCAATGATCTTTTCAATGGACCCATGCTCCTTGATCAATTTGAAAGCTGTGACTGGGCCAATGCCTTTAATGGTCTCACAATAATCGCATCCAAGAAGAATACAAAGATCAACAAAAGTATTGATGTCCATCCCGAAACCTTCTAGCACAGCGCTAGTGGTGAACTCGTCGACCTTGAGTTTCTTTGATTCTGCTGCAGTGACGTTTCTCAAGAAAAATGGCGGCTGGTAACACAACGTATCCATGTCTTCGGAGGCAGCAGCATATACTTTTCCTTTACGGGCCAGTTCCGCACACTGTGCTTCGGCCTCGCACGGCGCGATAACGTACGGGATACCCATGAGCCTGAGCAGATGCTGCGCCTGTTCGTTTTGCTCGCGCGTCACTTTGACCTGTCTCTTCTCAAATCGCTGCAATTCTTCCACCGTACCCGTTTCTTTCAGCTCCAGAGCTTTTTGTTCGGCCTCCTCTCTTCTCTTGAGTCTTTTCTCCAGCTCTCCTCCTTTGAGGACGGGCGGCTTTCCATCAAACACATAGCACGGCTTGATGCCGTTGCCTACCATTCGAATGGTTCTATAGAAAAACCCCATGAGATGCGACGTGGTGCCTCCTGCTTCGTTTGTCAACTGGTTACCATCTTGCTGTCTCACAGCAATGAGGAACTGATATAGACACATAGACGCGTCAATAGCAATCTTGCGTCCAAACAGAGACTTCATCTCGCTTGATCTTATGGCGCGTGGCGCGTTCTCCGCCACAAGAGCGTTGAGCCCCTTGATTCCCATGTCAACTAATCTTGTACGCGTCGGTAGCTGAAAAATATTATTCCAGGCTCGATTTATTTTCGACGCGACGCTGTCGTTCTCGTTTCGAAAGCAAATTTTGCAGAAACCAGTTTTGGTTTATTTTATCATCCCTGCTGGATCCCATTGCTAATACACGTTCCCCGATTAATAATGTTTGGCAACTCGGCGTCCACCACCAGCGGGTTTGGAGGGTTTGGTTCCAACAACACCTGGAATAACAACAATTCCTCGCCGTTTGGAACCAACACTGTAAACAACAATACCTCGTCTCCGTTTGGCTCGAACACAAACACAAACACGGGAGGCTTGTTTGGAGCCACTGCAAATACGTCCTCAGGGCTGGGCACATTTGGGTCCAATACCAATACCAATGCCCCGGCCAATGGCACTTCCTCGAACACCGGCTTGTTTGGAACAGGATCATCGTTCAACAGCTCATCCTCGCCGTTTGGCCAATCGGCCTTTGGCAACACAGCCTCCACCGGAACCATGTCAAACGGTCTTTTTGGTACATCGAACAATACTGGCTCTGCTTTTGGGTCTACAGCCACGACGTCTCCGTTTGGCCAGCAGTCCACTGCACCTCGGTTCGGATCCACCCTTGGAGCCACTAACACCCAGAACAGAGGAACGTCTGTGGTTCCATTCAAGCCGCTGACCGAGAAGGATCCAACAAATGGAACGCAATACTATGAGACAATCACAGCCATGCCTGAGTACTCCAAGTTTTCTGTCGAGGAGCTCAGAGTTCAGGATTACATTGATGGCAGACGCTTCGGCAACAATTCTGGGTCTGCTGGAACGGGAAGTTTTGGCACAGGAACTAGTTTTGGCTCAAGTACCGCTGGTGGATTTGGAACTGCAACCAACACCGGCGGCCTCTTTGGCCAATCCAACAATACGACCTCAGGCGGTCTATTTGGACAGTCCAACAATAATACCGGTGGAAACCTCTTTGGCGCTAACAAGCCTGCAACAGGCGGCCTTTTCGGGTCATCCAATAACAACACATCTGCCTTTGGCTCGAACAACAATTCTGCATTTGGCTCGTCCGCTGCTCCATTCGGGCAGACGAACAACTCGCCTTTTGGCCAGCAACAGCCATCAGCTACATTTGGAGCGTCTTCGAGTTCTCCGTTTGGACAACAAAACAATAATGCTGGCACTCTTTTTGGTGCCAACAACAATCAGACTAGCTCTCCGTTTGGTCAACAGAGCACAACGCCTGCCTTTGGCTCGAATAACCAGACCGGCAGCGGCGTGTTTGGCAACAACAACAACCAAACAAGCGCTTTTGGCAACACGGGAACTAACACAGGTAACCTTTTTGGTGCAAACACCACGGCTAACAAACCCACTTTTGGCGGATTTGGTTCGTCCGGGAACACATCTGGAGGCTTTGGCTCGACTGGTAATACCTCGAGTAATCTGTTTGGCAACAACAATAATAACCAGCAATCTGGTGGACTGTTTGGCAACAATAGCGGCCAGTCTGGAGGCCTCTTTGGCCAGCCTAACAAGCCTGCCGGTACTGGCTTTGGATTTGGTTCGACTAATAACGCACAGAACGGATCATTGTTTGGAAACAACGCTTCGGCTAACAACAACACGTCAGCCCCACTGTTTGGCAATAATACTAATCAGGGTGGATCACTTTTTGGTAACAAACCAGCAGCTAATTCTGGCGGAGGCCTCTTTGGAAACAACAATACAGCCAACACTGGAAGTGGGGGTGGCTTTGGATTTGGTGCAAACAATAACAACAACGCATCGTCCGGGACTCTGTTTGGCAATAAGCCTGCCTCCAGTGGGACCGGATTTGGTTCGACAAAC